AGCCGACGAGATACGGATTCTGAAAAGGGATTCTTCTGCATACTATTATAAATTGTGGCCATATATCTGATAATATATTTATAAATGCAAATGTATAAATCGAAATAAGGGCACTCGAAGGGTGTTTTGAGGAATTCAGTTGGTTTAAAGCTTACGCTTCGTTAATTTGCATATCAAATTTTAGGCTTTGTGTGCGAAAATTTCAGGAATAATTGAAGTAAATGCAAGCTGACTGCCTTTCTTTCTGTCAATTATGAACACGCCAAGAAAAATGTTTTAAAAAGTCAATCTCTTTTAAGACATATCAATCTAATATTGAAAAATATGTCTTATTTAATTAAATTTGTATTTATGTTTTCAATCAACGCTAAGAGCATTAAAACCAATTCCGAAAAATCCCAATTGCCTTAAACATTTAATAAGAAAATGTTGAAATAGAATATTCTCTACTCGGGAAAGCTTTCGTTGTGTTTGAAACTTCGTTGCAGTTGATTTCCCCTATCGATTGCTACTTTGGTTGCTTTTTTTTGTTATCTTTGATAACAAAAGACGAAATGAAAAGAAAGCGAGAAGGCATATCAGTATTATAAGGAGCAGCTGCGACTTGGACGGAAAATGCGAATGGAAATTGTTAGAGCCAGACATAAAAATACTGTCCAGTTCAGAGCTGCCTAAAAGCTATTCGAGCATTGGGAGAAGTCAGAAAAAAAGGATGTATAACTTTTAAAAATATGTCTTATTTTTATTAATTTAATATTTTTTTGGCAATTTTTCGTATTAATTAGTTTAATGACTGAACCAATTTTTTTTATCAGCTTTTAGTCTGAGTCGGATAATTGACTTTAGCAGTTAACCAAGGTAATAAAGTTTATGTCACGTAAACGTAATGAAATAAGAAAGATAAATAAAATAACGTTTCAAATTATTGCATGATTGGTGGACACCGCAAGAAACATGAGAATTAATATTTAAGTGGATTAAGTAAATTTTAAGACAATTTTGGTTTTGCTTAGCTTACTTCCTATGGTAAGGGGGTTGACTTTTTTTTTGAGACTTGATCGATTATTGGTTTGACACTGCATTCCTGGTAAGCTTTTTTCGGTTAAAAAAAAGGAACAGCGTTCCTGACAAACGATGTTTGACTCTTTTGCCAGTAGAGGACAAAAGGGCAGCACTGGTACTAAACCATTTTGCGTTTTTTTCGCCTGCCTCCTTGTCGGTTTTCGTTTTCGTTTTCGTATCCGATTTGGATTACGTTAAGGAAAATGCAAAATACTTTCGCTACGTCTTGGACGCGGAGAAGTAACAAAGTTAGATTGCAGTTAAAAACGTTGGAAACATTTTACACTTATTTTTATTCTGGCTACGCACCAAATAAATATTTATGGAAAATGTTAATTCCGCGCTCTTTAATCTAAATGTTAATTTCCCGCCGGCAAATAAATCACTTTGTGGCCAAGCAGCCAGCGCGGCGTATGCGTAATGCGTTTGAATTGAATCGAATGGAATGCCAGGGGATTTCCATGCACCGCCGGGGGACTTTTCATCCAACATCCCCAAACCCTCCTACCAGGTGTCTGCGGCTGTTGGATTAATTAGTGCGCGGTGCTCTACAAAATGCTCCTTGGGGACCGATTTCCGGGGGAAGTTCAAGTGCGGGCTTCACTGCTTCCGCTGCTCCTGTGGCTCTTTAATATTTGCCCGAACTGCAGCTCGGTAAAACTGTCGGCAGCAGGTGTAAACTTTCAATTAGCGCCCTAGTCATGACCAAGACCACAACTAGCAGCTAATTACGCAATTTTGCATTAGTTTGTCCTAGAAGGTGGCTTTGGTGTTATTAGCTACCAAAACTGCAACAAAAATCCCTTAAATATTGCGTTAAAGGAATGGCATAACCTCAGGTCATCCCAAAGAAATTTTACCATTAAAGGTATCGATAGTTATTTATCTTAAATTGATTAAAAAAAATATTATTTTTTTATTTAATTTGTGCAGCATTGGTATTAGTATACAATATTTAATCTAAGGGGCTTCGCGTTAGGTATTAAGAGTGCTAGCAGCTATGACCTTCGACTCTGGTTTATTGCATCATATATTTTGTGAGATATGTTTAAACAATTAAAAATCAATCCCAGCAATCAAAAGCAGAATTTTCCAAAGGAAACTCCACCAAAAAGTTCTTTACAAATGCGGTCAAACTTTTAAATATAGCATCCTGCCTTTTTAGTTCGATAAACTCAAAAATTATTTTATTTAAATCCAAAAGTTTGGTATTTTACAAAGTTGTATATATAGTATAATTTTCAGTACTCAAATTTTATAAGCATGTTTTTATTATTTACACGTAAAACGCCTATATTAACATTTCCCTTTTTTTGCAATTTTAAGAAGATATTATGTTCTTAACCACTTAATACACCAAAAGGGATACCATCTCCTTAGCTGGCTTACCTTGCCTTCAACCAATTGATTGCCAATCAATTCGTCAAATGATTGATGACAACTTCAACTCCCACTCAATAGACCATATGGGACTAGGCTGAAACAAATTCCCAACTCATCAGAATATTCAGATGAGTAATTGTGCTTTGGGCACAACCCGAAAATCTTGACATTTCCCCAGTGGCATTCCAGGGTGCTCTAAATTTGGCAACTATGCGGCCAACTTTAAAACCAGCGAATAGCCGAAATAAATGACAGAGATGACTTTATGGCCGGGACTGCACTTTGTCCCTAAACCAACGCGTTGCTGAAAACACAGTTTTTGCACAAGGAGCTTGCACGGGGAAAAATGGGAGTGAAAAGAGGGAGTTCAAGTGTAGTTAGCCTGGGGCTTTGGCATGCATTTAACATCCGGACCAGGACAGCACTGGGGGCAGGCCAAAAGTTCGGGCCAAGCTCGTTTTTTATGACGGACCTACAGTGAAAAAAAATGCTTTTGAAAAACGCATGATTTGAAAATGCTTCAGTTCGGTAGAGTAAAGAAGGTACTTAGTTTTTACTTATTCGAAGCTTTTTTAATAAGAAATGTTCGTTAAACGTTATCAGCTATAAATATTTTGAATACTTTAGTTTAATTATTGAAAATAATAAGAACAAATGCTAAAATTATTACAAATACAGTGGGATGGAAGCTCATTGATTGTGTTAATTCATACTTTCCTTATTTAAACCGTAATTTGATCAATTTTTAAATAAGCAGTTCACCAATATTTGACCTTTTCAGGAATGCAGAAGAGTTTGATGTATCCGTATATATCCGTATTTCTGTGATTTTCCTGTGTATGCGAGTGGGTGGCCATTGGGTGTTTGGGTTCAAAGTGCGGGGACACCGCTTTTGAGCTACGTGACATGCATAGTTCATCGCTTTGGCCTGAGAGCACGGACGGAAAATATTGCAGTTGTGATATGTTTGAGCTGACTCGGATGTCCGGATGTCCGGATGCGATGGCTTTTGCTTTACGTCAACTCCAGAGCAAAGGTGCTAATGAAAATGGGTAAACTTTCAGCACAAATCGGAAACGCATATATGCATACCATGGATACATACGCATCAGCATCAGCATCCGCATCCGCGTGCGTCTAATTGCATGTTCCTTAATTAACCCCAAACAATTGGGGCAACATGGCGCCTTCTCCTTTAAAGTCTGGGCTAAATGCGAGTTTTATGTCGGTCGGCACACGGAGATTGTGTTGGTTGTATTAAATTTTGAGACTGGCAAACAAGCAAAACCAATTTGCGCCCAAAGTACGAGTAACAGGAGCAGTTAATTTTAATTACACACATAACGTAGCAGTATACAAGTTGCTGATGTGACAACGGGGCGTCTCAATTTGGCCACCTTTCTCCGCCGAAAGCACGCCAACCACCAACCACCGGGCACATACTCACCCACTTGCACACTCACATGCCCATTCACAGCCAAATTGCCATTAAATGAGTGGAGGCGTTGCTGAGAATAAACGACAATGGCATTTCTGCGGCCATGTGTGGAAAATGAGATGGCGGCGGGAAATGAAGCCTCAATCGTTTCGAGGTGCAAAAGCAACAAAACAAATTAATTTTACAGCTGCACATTGCGGGATGTGCTGGCAGACTCGTTGCCACACGCGCTCATATGAACGGGAAACCTTGGGGAAGATTACCAACTAAGTTTCCACGCCCCTCTCAACTTTTAAATGAATTTCACTTCCGCTTTGCACTTTGCCATCCAGCTGTACGGATGAGGTGAAATACACAAGAATAAAGTTCGGTGGCTCAATACAGTGACTAAAATATAATACATACCAATAGAAATAAATGTTTACGATTTTGAAAATTTATATAAATATACTAAATAAATATTTTACAATAAATATATCAAAATGCTAGAAAAATTCTATGAATAAAGGGCATAGGCTGTAGACTCCATAATTACAACTCATGGTAATCGAAAAAAAAATTTACAAATATTTTTTCAGTTATCCTTACATTTTAGTCAACATTAAGTAATAATTCAATTTCGAAAAAGAAAAACGTTATATCTTAATGTTTATTATGTGTTGCTCACATATTTTTTAATACTCTCAGCCACTATTGTTTACTATTCCAAACTGTCATTTAAAAACAAAAAATTAATAAATACTTTGCCTTTGAAAATCATAAAAGCCTAAAATAGAATTGTAAAGTATAAAGCTGAATAAGTTTTCTTAGCCTGCACAGCTATTTTTTCAGTGCAGCACACATTTATGAAGTAACTGTTTGCATTCGCGGCTGAAGTAGGTGTTGCTGCTGTAAATGTTGCTGCTGTAGTTGTTGCTGCTGTAGTTGTTGCTGCTGTAGATGTTGCTGGCGGGTATGTTGCTCCTGTGCTCGCATTAGCAGCTGGCTTAGGCGAAAGAGAAACACGTGCACATGGATTTCCTTGGCACACTTCTACGCTAAGCTCGTGCATGTACATATTCGTATTACTTCTTCAGAGAAGTCCCAGAGCCAAAAGAAGACATTTAAAGACAGAGGATTGCATTTTACACAATATTCGTATTTTATTTTAAAACGGTCTTTTCTTTACACAAAGATTGCAGCTGCTTACAATACTATGCTCCTCTGCTCTATTTGGAATCTTTAAGGGATATGACTTTCAACAGCCCCCAAATTCGGTGGCTTTACTTTGCTTGGCATTTCTTAGCTCCTAACTAATCAACACTCATCCAACAACTGCTGCTGCAATCCCCTCTTTCTGTTTCTGTCAGTGTAATACATTTTTTTAAATGGTGGAATAGAATTGTTAATCTGTATACATATATATATATATATACTCGCACTGTGGGTAAGTTTGTGTGTTTGTATTTCGTTTAAACATTTACATTTATTTAACTTTGAGTTGCAACCAGAATACGTAATACATAAATACCTGTACGCAGCTGTTGATTATATATTTCATTAAATAGTTATTTTAAGTACAAGGATTCTTCGTAATAAAATGCAAGCGCAAAGTTTTTATTTCAATTTGAAGAACGAATAGCTTTAGAGTGTGCCTGATCAACTTGATCGATCTATTAAGAGTACATAGTTTTAAAAGCGTTTGACAGAAGATAGTTTCTTTGGAAATTTCGTGGGCCACTAAACGATAATGATTTGAATTGAACCTATCTGATAAAATATCTATTAATTTTGATACCTCTCACTAAGTTAATCTAAATATCACTCGGGTTCGATCTGTATTCGGAATTACGGAATTACGGCATCCGCTCATATACGTATGCAGGATGGGTGTGATCCGTAATGCTGACTTGGCGGCGAATCCTTGGCTTCGGGTTTTCTGTCTTTCGGGCATTCGGGCTTTCGGTCTTCTGTTCTGGTTCTGGTTCTGATTCTGGAGGTTACACCTCCTCGTAGCTTTTGCACTTGGGCATCGGACCGGACCACCGGCCATCCGGCTGGCATTTGGGCCGTTCGGGCGGACCCTCGTAACTCTGGACAAATCCGGGCCGGCACTGGACGCTCAAATAGTCTCCGGCATCGTAGTTAAACTTGAGCGGCGCTATCAGACCGTTGGGCGGATCGCCGGGATAGGGGCACTGTGATTTGCCTGAGATCGTGGATCGTGGATCGTGGATCGTGGATCATGGATGGTCAGTGGACAGTGGTCATGCGTGTACAGTTATCAGGTATCAGGTATCAGATATCAGGTATGTTATTTGATGATTCGTGATCGTAAACGGTATCGGTATCGTTATCGAAATCGAGATCGGTCGTTTGTTCGGCGGAAATACAACACAAGAGTCATTAATTGGGTTGGTCTGTGAGCGGGCCCACGAGGAGGAGGAGGAGGAGCGGTGCGCCGCGCCGGCGATCTCTCGCAGCGCACGCATATACATATACATATATATCGTATATATCGTGTATATATACGTGTCTATGTCAGTGAGTGTGTGAGTGAGTAGCGAGTAGCGAGTCTACTTACAAAATGGCGGCGAGTGCGACCACTGTCCATTCTCCGTGCAGATGATGCTCGACTCGCCCACCAGGCTGTGTCCGTCGTTGCAGCTGAACGTGACCAGGGCGCCCACGGTCAGGCGCCTCTGGCTCAAACTGGTGCCCCCTATGCGCCCGTTGAGCGGCGCCACTGGCATCACGCACTGAATGACTGCGGAGGTGTGGTGGTGGATAATCGATGGGTGGACCATTAGTAAACGGGATGCGAGAGTTAGTACAAGTGGTTTTTACATATATAAACAGAGAATCTGAAGCGGGAATATATTTTAAAGCCCGTACTTTCGATTCATGCAGGGCTTAAGGAAACATCTAAAAACTTTGGGTTAAGCTTTGGTTGAAAGAAAGTATCGTGACACCCTTAATAGACATAGACAATAAACATACTAATATAGTATATTTATATAAATTTATCTACAAAGTTTTCTAAAATTAAAATAAAAAACCTTTTTGTAACTTTATGAAATTTGACTAAAATTTTTAAGCTTAAATATGATAGCCTAAGTAGAAAGATTCCTGATATATATTATATATCTAAAGTTTATCAATGATGAAGTACAAAATAGCTTAGTCTTGATTTTGGTTCAGGTATACTTTAATTCCCATCTGAAGCTTCTCAGATCCCCCCATAATGTGCCTAGTAATGGCACATTTTCTCGAACCCCTATATATATACACCATATGGAGTACCGCCCCGATCGCTCACCTTTGCAACGCGGAACGGGGCCACTCCAGACGCCCGACGGCTCACAGTCCAGCTGTGCCGGTCCGGTCAGCTTGAAGCCCCACTGGCATTTGAACACCGCCCGCCCCCATGCCGAGGTGTTCAGCTCGATCAGGCTGAGGTGCGGATCGTCCAGCTCCAGGCGCGGACACTGGATGGCATGGCAGGTCGGCGTCGGCGATGACCAATTACCGGAGGCCAGACAGGTGGCATTCCAGGCCCCGTCCAGCCGGAAGCCTTCGGGGCACTCGTACAGTGCCCGCTGGCCCAGCTTGTTGCCCTCGAGGCGCAGCTTGAGCGGCGCCAGCGGCTCTGTCAGCTGCGGACACGTCGAAGTGGCCACCACGACGGCAATGCTGTTGGTCAGTCCGCGCGGCGAGGTGCAGGTGAAGGTGCCGGAGTCGTTGTTCTCGATGTTCTTGATGCTCAGCCGGTAGCGTACGGCCTTCTCCTCCTGGGCCGGTGACCATCCTGTGCGGGGGATATATATCAATTTAAGTTACAAAATGTATGAACATAATCCATTTTATTTTATTTAATGTTCCAATACTAAGTAGTCTTCATTTACATACTTTTTTTAAGTAAATTAAGTTCGGGAACTCTTTGGTTTTCATTTTTTTTCGTTATTTATACAATTTATGGCCTACATCTGGGGGCTTACATACCTCTAGTGTACCTTTGTAGTTCAGGGACCGAAAATGTTTATGTTATGTAAGACTTTCAATTTTCAAATAATACTTTTAACTATATGGGCAAGATTGATATTGATTTTTATTGATTTGATTTTGTTGGCCAGAGTAAAACGTTTATTTATTACGTGTGACTTTTATATATGTAAATTATTACCTCAAATAACGATACCGAAAGGTTCATAATTTAATTGTGTTGCGATCGTGGGAAGTATGTATTGACTTTAAAAGACTTTATTATTAAAGTTGTTAGTTATATGACTATTCATTTCTAGTACAAATGTTTGGCAATCATGAAATTAAGTTTGTCGTTCAGTTACATTGCCTTTTTTAGGGCTGAGGGTTACGTATTTAACCTACGTACGATTTAAGAAAATATTTCATACATTGCTTCATGTAATTAATAACAAACATGTAAATATACTTTAATTATCTTTAAAAATGTGTCCAATCCCGGGGATAAATAATAGAGTGCCATTAGACAACCCACTCACCTGTGGAATACTGCATGTACCAGCTGGTCCAGCTCCACTCGGGCGTGCCCCTAACCCTCGGATACATGCAGTCCAAAAGCACGGTGCTGTGCGGCGGAACGGCCATCACGCCGGAGGGTTCGAAGGAGTGCGATCCGTTGTAGACCTTGATCCGGATGGAGGGGGCGCTGTCCTCGGAGTAGTTGGTCAGCACGGTGGTGGGGACGCAGCTGGGCATGCGCGGTGCCCACAGGCCGTTGGAGCAGAGGACCCGTGACTCCCCCAGGAGCTTGTAGATGCCCAGCTCCTGGCAGCGCGCCTGCAGCGAGTGTCCGTGCGGCAGATCCCATCCCACATTCTGAGGCAAGGGGCAAATCGCAGGCAAGCAGTGTGGGAAAAGCGAAAGGGTGCAGATAGCGGGGCGGAGGGGTAGGGATAAAGCAAAGAGAGAGAGAAAAAGTGAGATAGAGAGAAAGTGGAGAAAGTTATCAAAAAATTAGATGCTCCCGCGAACTGGGAAAGCGGCGCTGGTTGCTCTGGCGTGCAGTTCTTCGCGTTTTTCAATCAGTGTTTATCTGTATCTTGTATCTCGTATCTTGTAGGTCGTATATCTTTTAAATTGTATCTTTTAGCTAGCATTCACTCCCTGGGTGTGTTTCTGTGTGTCGTTGTGTGTGTTTTTTTTGGTGCTCGGGTTGTGGGTTTTCTTGTGGGTGCAATCTACACAACAGCTACAACGACGACTCACAATTTCTGTATTTGAGAGAAGTGTCGATTTGGATAGGCGCGTTTTACGCCAGCCGCGATTTGGTGGGATCGGTGTCTGCAAGAGAGAAGATCAGAGAGTGCCAAAAGAACACACATACTATAGAGAATCGTTTTCGTTTTTAATTTCTTAATTTTTTTTTTTATTTTTTGCCCGATTTCGCATCGAGCATCGGCATGCAGATGGCTTGGTCGCTGGTCTTGAGATATTGCGATATTGAAATTTTTGGTGAGTTTATTTCAGGCTGAGATGAGGATAGAGCGATAGACAGGTGCGAGTAGACAGAGACAGGCAGAGAGAGATATATATATATATATAGTTGATCGCAGTTGAAGTCGAGATCGAAGCTAGGATCCCCTCACAAAAGCAATCGAGGCATTAATGGACGCAGGAAATCAATCTCCGGAAATCTACAAATCGTATGCATGTACGAGTACAATAGGTGTGCGTTTGCGTGTGCGTGTGCGTTGCATGTATGTGTTGTTGTGCTGTAGTGGTAGTGGTGGCGGTGGTATTGGTGGTGGTATTGGTGGTGGTATTGGTGGTGGTGCGGCAGCCAGTTGACCCCTCGACGGATCGTCGACCTCTAACCACTTACCACTGAAATGTTGCGGTAGCTGAGCAGCAGGTGCGACGGTATCCGGTTCACGTGGCAGCTCTTGTACAGCGGCTGAAACTTCACGTTGCCATTATCGTCTGCGGGTGCCGATATCGGATATATATCGTTCAACGGAGGAAAAATATCACCAATTGGTTATTTGTACTATTTATAAGCCAAAGAGCCATGCGAGTGGCCGATTGACATGGAGTTTTAATGAAATCTCTACTGACTTAAACATTAAGGACTGAATTTTCTCAATAACATGTTAGATTTTGACATGTAGTTAAATTTTATCTGACTGCAAACTCTTAATTACTGGCAATCTTATAGTTACAATTTGTAACATACCCAAAAATTGAGATTAGATTGAGAAAGGAAATTTCTTTCGCCCAGCAATGTTACTTCATGTTAACTATCTCAAAAAAGGTTACGAACTAGAACCTTAACATGACATCGAGAAACTTGTCCTTTTAGCGGAATTTAATATACCTCATAAAACGATCAGTCTCACAATTTTCTTTGTTTTAAAAAATCTGTAGAGATTTCAGTACCTCCTCCAAATCTTTAAGGTTTTTATTTTGAGTAGTACTCTTCATTAAAATCATAGATAAATATAAGAAACTCTGACAAAGTGATAAACATATGAACAATAAGTGAAAAAAGTTAAACAGATAAAATTTGAAACAATAGCCATTATTAAGCACCAATTAAAATGGTAAATATTGTTGTTATAAAAACAAAAAACTGAATGGATTAATGTGAACCACACTTTTTTCCGTGTAGTTTTAATTGGCGAGCATAATAATTGGGTTAAAATGAAACAACAATCTGATTGTGTGCTGTATTCGCTTGTGTACTGATTGTGTTGTCTTTATTTGCGCACGTAAATAAATGAATTCGCAACTGTTTGTGTGGCTTAAGTGTATATGTAATTGGAGCTATGTATCTGTATCTGCAAATGCAATTGCAACTGCAACTAAGTATCTGTGTGTACTTGAGTACTGTTATTAAATTGGTGCATTGTCGTGGGCGTGAGTGGGGGGTGTAGTTAAGTGGAAGCAAGTGTGGGTGGCTCACTTACCCTCCTCGTTGGTGGCGCACAACGGACCCACCCACTTGCCCTTGACACAGCGGATCTTGCATAGCCGTCGACCGCCCATGGGACCGATCTCGCCCGGAAACCGGATCTCAGACACCTCGGTGAACTGCTGCAGGATGTCGACCTCCTCGTCCTCCTCTTCCTCCTCGTCGAACTCGGGATCGTCCGGATGGACGGGCGTGTAGCCGGCCTCCTCGTCGTAGATACCTACATTTTCAAGGCGGGACGATAAGAGCAGAAGGTGTGGGCGTCGTGAGATGGGCAATGTACCATGCCAAGAAACAGGGGTGGGGGTAGATAGACGTTCAGAGGGGGGATAGAGCAAATAGAGCAAGCATCTAATGAGCCGTCGAACGGCATGCGAATGAAATGATAATGTCCATGAACATGAGCATGAACATAAAGTTGAAGATGCTTATGAAGTGCCGGTGGACAATGGGCGATCTTAATGCCCATCCCCAGTTGACCTAAAACTCGACTCAAAATGCTTACGAAACCGCCGAAAGAAGCTGCAAAATCCTCGAGTTTGCCTCTTGGGCACACACATTAAGCCATGTTGAAGCCCCCCGGAGAAAGCCATCGAGAAACCACGAGACGTGCGAAAAGTGCTGCCAGCTGAAAACTTCAATGGGCTGCTCCAAGTGCTTAGATATGCATTAAAAGAAAACCAGAAGGCTGGCGAAGTGGCCACTTAACAGGATACAACTTCATTTCCCAGAAACCCCATCAGAAGGCAGCACACAAAGAAGTACGGGAGATGTGAAAAGGCAGAGATAACACGAAAGATAATATTATGCTGGCTAATAGAAAATGGAAGAAAATAAAAAAAGAGGAGCCGGAGAAGGATGCGGCAAAGGATACGGATGCGGACAAAGGCGGTTGTAGGAGCCCAAGCCCAAGGCAAACAAAGGAGCCAAAAGCAAAATCATTCCGGCCAGAACAAAGGGCCAACCGGCAACGGTCAACTCTCAACTCTGAACCCTAACCACGAAAAGATATGGACTGGCAAATAAACCATGACCGCGCAGCACCGATGGCGAAAATGGGGTAATGAAAAGCCGTCAAAGAGGGTGGCAAATACAGGTGCCCAGTGCAGGTGTGAATTTAGCTGGGGGATGAGCTATGGCTATGGCTATGGCTATGACTGTGACTATGGGTATGGGTATGGTTGGATGCGGTGGCTTTGGCTGTGACTGCGATTAGCTTTTACGAGTATGTTCGGTGTGTCCTCTGCTCACAACTTCCGTTAATGTTTGGGTGTTTTGGGTGTTTGGGTGTTCGTGTGTGTACTCATGTGTGCTTCTGTTGGTTGAAATGCCCTTGCAAAAGCGCTTTCAATATTCGCCGACAGACATTGTCAAAATTTAGTAACGTTGTAAAGCTTGAAAGCATGATGAAGCGCTGAAATTAGTAACCAACCGTCTGGGACTTTGAGTTGCCAAAGGGAAGCATACTAGGCGTATACTTATTTTAAGGGTATAACGGGGTTATGTTGGTTTTATGGCTTACTAGGCGGATACTTATTAATTAACTAAGCTACATGGAATATTTTTAGCCTATGCATGTCATAGTAATATTTCTTTAAGCAAGGTAAAATTGATACACAAAAATAGGTAATACCTAAAAATGTTTGAAAATAAATTTAATCAAAGTTTCCTAGAGCAATGATTTATTTTTAACTCTAGAAACTAAGCATTTTAGGAAGTCCATTGAAGATGTTTTTCAAGAATATAAGCCGATACCTAAAATTTGATTTGGATTGGTTTAGGTAAAAGGGAAATTAAAAACGGATTAATTCAGTGGCGTTGAAAGTATATTGTTGTGGGTGGCTTTTAGAAAAATGTTTAAATACCACACTTTCCAACATGGATTAAATACAAATCCATTTACTTAAATCCGAAACTACACCATTTAACATGAATTGATTTAAATCCAACCCAAAGCAGCCAATGGTTAAAAGCCTCCTGGCTGAAACGGACAACTAAGGATACTGTAACTTCGCGACCTATGACCTTTGCATGGGCACTTCGGTGTGTGGTGGGATTTGTGTGCGATCATCGATCAGTGATCAGCAATCAGCGCGACACGGACGGACAGACAGACAACGAGACAGCAACAGCGGCGGCAAACTCATTCAAGGCATTGGGCACTGTGGCATTGCCAGTGTCTGGCCGCCGTGCGGGCGCACACTCACCCTTGTCCTTGCGACTGGTGGTCTTGGAGCTGGAGTCGCCACCACCCTTCGGACGGCTCAGTGCACCCGTGGTCTTGCCGGACTTGCGCTTAACACGTTGCCACAACAGGGCCACTCGTGCACTGCTCGACTGATTTCCATACTGTTGGTCCAGTTCCGCTTCAGCTTCCGGTTTGGGTTCCGCTTCCCCTTCCCCTTCCGGTGGCAGCTGGCCGAGATCGCCCTTGGATTCGGTGCTGCGCCGGCGACGCCAACGCGGGCTCCGGTCACGCTGGTCGAGCTCAGCAGCGTGACTGTCCCCGCGTCGGCGGTGATGTCCGGTGGCCTCTGGTTGTCCAACTTCTGGCTGCTCCTCCTCTTCGATTGCTTTCTTATTGCTTAGGGTCTGCTTCTCTTCAAGGGCTTTTATGTCCTTCTTCAGGGATTGCACATCCTGGCCGGCAACCTTCTTTTTGGGCTTCTTCTTGGTGAGCTTAGTGCACTTTTCCTTGCCTCCCTCCGCCAGACACTTGTTTAGCCTGGCCTTCATCTTGAGCTTATGAAGTTTCGATTTGAGTTCCCGATTCGGCTCACGACTCTTCAGGATGTCGGCAATGTGCACATAGTAGACATCGCCCTCGGCGGCCAACTTGCTGCCCGCCCAGCGATCCGTATCCGCCGAGGCCTCCGTATCGTGGAGGATGGCATGGCGCTTGTACCGACTGCCACGCCCCCTGCCCGTCTGTCCATTTTCGTTCTCGATTCGCCGCCGACGGCCAGAACCGGCGCGTCGCCGTTTGCCCTGCTTGCGATTGGCATTCAGGCGTTTGTCCTCCGGGTCACCATGCGGATCCTCATCCTCGTCACCCAGTTCATCGTCGCCCACCAGACTGGCGGCCGCATCGCCCACATGCAGATGGTCGTCGCCCAAGTCAAGCGAATACGGATTGATTACGGCCGCATGGTTCTCGTTGGGATGTCGCGGCACCGACTCCACGAACTCCACATCCGCCGTGGTGAAGTCCTCCGGCAGGTAGACCTGCGTGGTCTCGAATTTGGCCAGCGGCTGCTCCGTCGTCGCTTCCGGCTTGACAATCGTGAAGCGCACATCCGGCGCCCGACAGCCCGGCGAGGCATCTGCGGATGGATAATGGAAAACGGCAAAATAAGAACACTTGCAAAAATTGGTAGGACAACCAAAAGAAGGTATTCAAAACCAACAAAAAAAGTTTGAGAAGTCTTCAGTTTTATGCTTTGCTCTTATCTGATACTTATTAATTATTTACTTTGCTTTTAAATAAATTTATTTGAAACTTGATATTTGTACTTGTTCAGTAAAAAGTTACTTTACTTATCTAGTAAACAAAATATGTATTTTAAAATTATGTTGATAAAAGCTAATATCATGACATAACAAAATGATAATTTTATTAAATTTTTTAATGATATTTGTGTTTTGTATTTACTTATCAAAAGGCCACAGCATGTTTCAATAATTTAAATAACTTATTTCCTATTAATAATTTAGATGTCAAATTCACTTTAAAAAATAGTTGAAATTTATTTATTAATATTCGCTTTGACTTGTTTGCAAACAATATGTCTATTTGCTTTAGCTAGCAAATAAACTTCAATATATATAACTTATATTGTTAAACATTGTTTCGAGTTTATTAGTAATTAATTAGCAGCACCCACTAAAACGGGAAATATCCAACAACAATGTACAAAATTCATACAAAACAAGTTCAAACTCTTGAGTTAATCAATTTTTTTGCCTCAGTGAAGATTTAACAAAATCTTATTCCCCCAAAGATTGTGGCTTGGCTGGAGGTAATGCAATTTCAAGTCTGCCAGAAACTCTTGCCATAAATATTTCATATGTGATCTAATTTAATAACTTGGCCTGGCTGGTAAGAACTTTCCACTTGACGTCGCACAGACTTTGAGTGCCATCGAAATTGCAAATTTCCAATATGCATTTGGCATGCAGGCAAGTAATCAGGGGGCGGAAGGCAGGAAGGTAGGAAGGCAGGAAGGTCGTGGCACAAACGCACAGTTCAAGTTTCAATTTAACATGAGAGGTGGATGGCAGGAGGAACTCGAGCGGAAACTGAGTCAAAATCAGAGTCCGGATTTCAGGGTATTGCATAGGAGGGCAAAAGTCGCGGCAACATTTTCCGCAATTTCCATCTACAGTCAGCTTTTCGTTATCGCCGGGGGCTGAATTAAAGTTTTCCCAGCTCTACTCTCGCTTTCCACTTTTCTTTTATTCCGTAATGTGTCGTGTTCTTTGTCTGAATCTAGGTCAGGATACCATAGTATAGCGCTGGTAAATGGAATCACTGCATTCTTTCTAATTGATGAAATTGAATCGCCAATTAGCTCTGGATGCAAATGCAGCTGAGTGCCAAAGGAAAAAGGTTCGATGACCATCGGGCATTGGCACTTAGTTGATTAAATCTGGCGAGTATATTTACTTAGGTATCAAATGCTCTGGATAGTAAACTGACTAGTTTGTTAACTAAACAAAAGTTTTCTACTATTGTTTTTCAACAAAATTCACGTCTAATGTATGTATAAAATAAAGCAAATGATTAAAAACAGATTCAAAGTGCATTAGAGCGATAGGCAGTAATTTGATGTTCGACACAAGATTGACTGCACACGACGTGAACTAAGAGAGCGAACTCATATAAATATAGACATTTGAACCGGTCAATATTTCATGTTTTAGTCAAAAATTATATGCTGAACAAGACATAGATAAGAGTTGGTATAAATCTAAGACGCAAATTGTTGCCAACTCACGAACCAGTAGCTTAAGATAGAATCACGAACAGAGTTTGCCCGACAGCTAGAACCAGTTGGAAATTAAAGCTTTCCAAGCGCGAATACATTTATTTTAACACAATATATTTTTAAGGAAACTTTTAAAATATTGTATTTCAACCGATAACTTGGGCAAACTCTATTAATATGTTTCGAATTAAAAACTCATTGGGTGAACGTGACTATAAATATCGATCAGCTGAGCGGTCGAACAACAAAAGCATAGAGACATACAAGTTTCAAGGGCGGAATCTAATCAGTTGTGGTTGGGGGTTTCGTGCTGTTAAGCCGGTTGATAGAAGAAAGCTCGCGTACAGCGAAAGCTGAAAGTCGAAAAATCAAAACAGTGCTGAGCGAGAGATCAAGCGATCCAGTTCGACAGCGAAATGATTTGGCTTCTGTGGCTTTCGCTCGCCATAGGTGTGCTCGTGCACTGGATCTATAAGGTAAACAGAGACTACTGCGTTCTCGCCTTTTTCGCCAGGAGGGTTCGAACCAAGGATGGAAAACCCCCGGAGAGCATTGTTCCCATAGCCAAGGGGCGCACCTTCTGTGCCAACAGCTTCGATTTGTATGGCAAGGACGCTGGTGAGTAATTGCTGCACTTTAGCATCAGGTTTCTTATCTTAATAATACCTCAATCTCTCTGTTTTGTTGGCCAATTCAGCCCAAGTTTTCAGCCACTTGCGCCAGTTGGCCCAGAGTTACCACGAAAGCTATCTTCAATATGGCCTGGGCTTTTCAAATTATAATGTAACCGATGCTCATAGCGCGGGAAATATTCTAAATCATCCTAATTTGATCACAAAAAGCTACATATATAATTTTCTACATCCATTTCTGAGGACTGGCGTTCTGACAGCAACAGGTGAAATTGCAATATTTAGAGTGACACCTTTTTTGTAAAATCGTATCTTTTAGAAAAGAAATGGCACACGCGACGGAATATGCTGGCTAGGACTTTCCATTTCGATATATTAAACCAGTTTCAAGAGATCTTTGTGTGAGTACTTTCAAAAAGGAATAATGAGCATTTATATTTATTTGGAATATTTAGAGCGGAGAGCTTGAAGTTCATTGAACACTTCGAGGGCCAAAATGAATGTGTGGTCTCGCTGAGAGACCGCATAACAATATTCACACTGAACAGCATTTGTGGTACTTGAAATTCAAATATTTGTAAAGGATCATATGGCAAAAGGACATTTCTTTGACAGAAACTGCCATGGGCGTTAAGCTGGATGAGATGGCAGAGAAGGGGGATCGCTACCGAGAGATGTTCCACCGCATCGATGAGGGCTTCACTAGGCGAATCAGCAATCCCCTCTATTGGGACGATTGCGCTTACAACCTGTTTGCAGCCCGGGATTATGCCTCAGCTTTGAAAGTGGTCCATGCGTTTTCCAGCGAGATTATTGCCAAACGTAGGGTTCTTTTGGAAGAAGAACTGGAGCATAGACGCGCCACTCAAACGGCTGACGATGATATGTGAGTTTGTATTGAAATTGAAAGTCCCACTGATTGAATACTTTTTCCATTTATTAGATGTGTGGCGAGGAAGAAACGTTTTGCCATGCTGGACACTTTAATTTGCGCCGAGAAAGATGGACTAATCGACAATATTGGCATTTGTGAGGAGGTGGACACCCTGATGGCTGAAGGACATGATACCACCTCCATTGGTCTGGTGTTTGGCCTAATGAACATGTCACTTTATGCCGAACATCAGGAACTATGCTTCCAGGAGATCCAGGAGCACATTGAGGGTAAGTGTTGTCACAGATGTGATGTGGAAAATTCAGATTTCTGATCGTTTTCAGATGACTTAAGCAACCTGAACCTGGGTCAATTGCATAAACTCACGCACCTCACCAACTTTCTGAAAGAAACCATGCGTCTGTATCCCTCCATTCCCATTATGGGTCGTCAAACGATTGAGGAAACCGAGCTTGACAATGGTTTAATCCTGCCAAAGGGTTCTCAGATAAATTTGCATGTCTTTGACATCCATCGCAACCCCAAGTACTGGGATTCGCCCGACGAGTTCCGCCCGGAAAGATTCTTGCCCGAGAATTGCCAGAAGCGGCACACTTACGCCTTCATTCCGTTCAGTGCTGGACAAAGAAACTGCATAGGTAAGTACATTTATCGTGCAAATGGCCCGTTCTTCATTTTATCCCTCACCCTCACCCACTTAGGTCAAAAATATGCCATGCAAGAGATGAAAACATTGATTGTGGTCCTACTCAAGCAGTTCAAGATTCTGCCAGTTATCGATCCCAAGTCCATTGTCTTTCAAACGGGTTTAACCCTGCGCTTTAAAGACAAAATAAAAGTCAAGCTCGTGAGGCGGAAATGCGACTAGTGGTTATATCGATTTTAGAAGCTTACGCTTAAGTACTCATCTCAAATGCTTAACTGGCCCTGACTTTGCAGTGGCATTTATTAAGATTTGTTGAAAAAAAGATTTATTTGTTAGTGCACCAAAAAATATTTAAAACAAGATCAAGAACATATATACTTTATTTATTGTTAAAATTCTGACTTTAATTATAATACCCTCTGCAAGGGTATAAAAATACAGCATGACTCAATTGTTAAAACTGTTTATTGTATCAGTCAGATGAAACAGCGTCGATGCGTCTTTTAAAACTATAATTTTACGTTATGAGCTGAACTCGACTAAAAATCGCTGCTAGCGAACCGTGAATATATGTGTTCTATGTAGGTGCAATCTAATCTGCCTCGACTGTTTAAGCGTGTAATTGTTGTCTACAAAACCGGCTGATAGTAAAAGCTCCCATAGAATGTGAATAGCGATCAGTGGGCTCAGTTTGGTGGGAGAAATCCGTGGACGCGGTTGTGCAATAATGATTGTCTTGTGGCTGATCGTTGCTTTAAGTGTGCTATTCCACTGGCTCTACAGGTTCAACAAGGACTGCTACATTCTGTCTTTCTTCGCCAAAAGAGTTCGAACGAAGGATGGAACGCCAGTGGAGAGCATCGCACCCACTCCCAAGGGTAGAACCATATTTGCCAACAACTTCGACTTGTACGGCAGAGACCACGGTGAGTGATGATAGTAATCGACGAACTTTGGCATCAATTAGTTTTTATTATTAGCTGGTGTTTTTCAACACTCGCGTGATCGCGCTGCAAAAATGGGCACCAGCTACCTCGAATACGGAGTTGGAACGTCCATTTACAACATCATCGATGCGGATAATGCAGAAAATGTATTGAACCACCCAAATCTGATAACCAAGGGACTAGTCTACAACTTCCTTCATCCATTTTTGAGGACTGGCTTGTTGACATCGACTGGTGAGTTTAATATTTCATTCGAACATTGGTTAGTTTCTGCATTTTGAATTTTAGGAAAGAAATGGCATGCACGACGCAAGATGCTTACACCGACTTTCCATTTCAATATACTTAATCAATTCCAGGAGATCTTCAAGTGAGTGCTAAAAATCTAAAACAATATACATACATGATAAAGTTTCCTTTTTTTAGAACGGAGAGTCAAAAGTTTCTGCAACAGTTCAAGGGTCACGATGAGGTAACCATATCGTTACAAGACGTAATACCAAGATTTACCTTGAACAGTATTTGTGGTGGGTGTACAAATAGCATATGAATAATTGACAGATTTTAAATCATTGACTATTCCCACAGAGACGGCCATGGGTGTTAAGCTGGATGAGATGGCCGAGAAGGGTGATCGTTACAGAGAGAACTTCAGCCAGATTGAGGAATGCTTCATTCGCCGCTTGAGTAACCCTCTTCTGTGGGGCGATTCACTGTTCAATATGTTTGCTGCCAAGGATTATGCTTCGGCCCTCGACGTGGTTCATGGGTTTTCCAGCGAAATTATTGCCAAACGTAGGGTTTTGCTGGAGGGCGAGCTGGGCAACAGACGAACCACCCAGACTGCAGACGATGATGTGTAAGAACACGTTTTGAATAAGGTCTTAGCAATGATAATACTACCAATTGACTGCAGGTTTATCACAAAAAAGCGTTTCGCCATGCTGGATACCTTGATTTGCGCTGAAAAGGATGGCCTCATCGATCACATTGGCATATGTGAGGAGGTGGACACCCTCATGTTCGAGGGCTACGATACCACCTCAATTGGTCTAATATTTGGCCTGATGAACATGTCTCTGAATCCGGACAAGCAAGAAATGTGCTTTCAAGAGATCCAGGAGCACATAGAAGGTAAGATGATACCTGCTCGCAATAAAGAAAAGTCTCATGACTTTTACTCTTTAAGATGACTTAAGTAACTTGGACGTGGGTCAATTGAATAAGCTAAAGTACCTGGAGTACTTTATGAAGGAAACCATGCGCCTGCATCCTTCGGTTCCCATTATGGGTCGCCAAACTACTCAGGAAACGGAGTTGGCCAACGGTCTGATCCTGCCGAAGGGTTCTCAGATAACCATTCATGTCTTTGACATCCATCGTAATGCCAAATATTGGGATTCCCCAGAAGAATTCCGCCCCGAGAGGTTCCTACCCGAAAATTCCCAGAACCGCCACACCTACGCCTATATTCCATTCAGTGCTGGCCAAAGAAATTGTATTGGTAAGCAAAACTTTATTTATCTTACTGAGACCTTAAATTAACTATAAAAATTTGTTTCTTTTTCTAGGTCAAAAGTATGCCATGCAGGAGATGAAAACATTGATGGTGGTTCTCCTAAAACAGTTCAAGATTCTGGCAGCAATGGATCCAAAAGACATTGTCTTCAATACGGGAATTACTCTGCGCACCCAAAACAAGATTCACGTGAAGCTTGTGAGACGAACATAAGTTTAGTGCTTAGTCTTTTAAAGACATATATACATAACTCTTTATAATGGTTATTTATATCATAAGAGTCAAATTGACTTAGCTTGCAAAGCTATTCGTTAAAAACTTTTCAAAGCACTGGATAGATTTGTTAACTATTGTATAACTTTATTAAAATCTAAAAATTAAATACTCATTGTGAATTGTTTCACTTTTAAATAAACTGGTTTATGTTGACACTATAAAACACATACCATGTAATTAGTGAGCTCGAGCAAAGCTACACACATTCAAATGAGATACAATCTAATCAGTTTTGCCTTTTATACCGGTAATTGTTGTTTAAAAAACCGGCTGATTGTGATCTGAATGATCAGTTTGTCGTGAGAAGTCTGTGGCTGCTGTTGTCTTGAAATGATTGTCTTGTTGCTGGTCGGCGCCTTAAGTGTGCTTCTGTACTGGGTGTATAGGATTAACTATGACTACTGTGTTCTTGCCTTCTTCGCCAGAAGAATCCGAACAAAGGATGGACAGCCTGTAGAAAGCATAGCTCCCTTGGCCAAGGGTACTACCGTATTTGCCAACAACTTTGACTTGTACGGGAAAGATCACGGTGAGTAATCAGCACAATTTGTCTTCCCTAAGCTTCTCGACTCTAAATCTCTGTCTGTTTTTTAATTGCACCCTCAGCTGGCGTATTTAATCACTCGCGTGACTGTGCAAAAATAATGGGTGAGAGCTATATTGAATATGGGATGGGTACGTCCATTTATAATATTATCGATGCGGATAACGCCGAGAATGTACTAAATGATCCGAATATGATAAACAAGGGAATAGTGTACAATTTTCTACACCCATTTTTGAAGACTGGTTTATTGACATCCACTGGTAAGTTGGTTTTGGCCTTTGCTCTTTTTGTTCTATTTACTCATATATTATAGGAAAGAAATGGCATGCGCGACGCAAGATGCTCACTCCGACCTTTCATTTCAATATACTGAATCAGTTTCAAGAGGTTTTCAAGTGAGTTGAAGTGCACTTTAAAAATAATCTTATCTATCTTATTGCTATTTCTCTTATTAGAACAGAGAGCATAAAGTTTCTACAGCAGTTTAAGGGTCAAGATGAGACAATCATCTCATTGAACGATGTTATACCCAGATTTACTTTAAACAGTATTTGCGGTGGGTTTGTTTGTCAATAAAGATGTGCGAATGATTTATAAATATTTTAAATTATACCTACAGAGACGGCCATGGGTGTTAAACTGGATGAGATGGCCGAGAAGGGTGATCGCTACCGGGAGAACTTCAAACAGATTGAAGAGTGTTTCATTCGCCGATTGAGCAACCCACTTCTGTGGAGCGATTCACTGTTCAACATTTTTGCTGCCAAGGATTATGCTTCTGCCCTGAATGTGGTTCATAGTTTTTCCAGCGAGATTATTGCCAAGCGGAGAGTTTTGCTAAAAGATGAGCTGGACAACAGAGAATCCACCCAGGCCGCAGATGATGATGAGTAAGACATTTTTCTGACTGACTTCAAATAATAATAATTATCTATGGTAAATAGATTTATCACAAAGAAGCGTTTCGCCATGCTGGATACCTTGATTTGCGCTGAAAAGGATGGCCTCATCGATCACATTGGCATTTGTGAGGAGGTGGACACCCTCATGTTCGAGGGCTATGATACCACCTCAATTGGACTCATATTTGGCCTGATGAACATGTCTCTTAACACTGACAAGCAAGAACTGTGCTTTCAAGAGATCCAGGAGCACATCGATGGTAAGTAAATATATAGATCAGATAGAAATACTTTTAAGCTCCTTAAAACCTTTCAGATGAGTTGAGCAACTTGGACATTAGTCACTTGAACAAGCTCAAGTACCTGGAATACTTTATCAAGGAAACAATGCGCCTGTTTCCTTCTGTTCCCGATATGGGTCGTGAAACCAGTCGGGACACGGAGCTGGCCAATGGCCTGATCCTGCCAAAGAGCTCCCAGATAGTCGTTCATGTCTTCGACATCCATCGAAATCCCAAGTACTGGGATTCCCCGGAAGAGTTCCGGCCGGAAAGATTCCTGCCGGAAAATGCCCAGAGCCGTCATACCTACGCCTTCATTCCATTCAGTGCTGGCCAAAGAAATTGCATTGGTAAGTCATTGCCACCATAACGTACGCATTTATATATATTTTTAACCTCTTGTTGTAGGCCAAAAGTATGCCATGCAGGAGATGAAAACGTTGATGGTGGTACTCCTAAAACATTTCCAGGTTCTGCCAATTATCGATCCCAAGGAGATTGTGTTTGAAACGGGAATAACGCTGCGAACCAAGAACAAAATCCATGTGAAGCTCGTGAGAAGAAAGTGACTCAGCTTTGAGGGAAAAGATTTATTCCAGGAACTCTGTGAATCATAAAATGCAACGTAGAATGCCTCTATCCAAAGACTCCTTTCTATTCTGGGGTGTAAAAATGTCCCAGCGACTGGCTTATGGCCGATAATCGTTGGCATCTCGACAGCTGCCGTCCTATAAATCATTCATGCACTGGCGGGCACAAGCAGTTCTCTTTTACTTCTATTCCTATCCGTATACCTATGGCCATTACCATTCCAACTACCATTTCCCACACAGTGGGAGCTCACTGCTCGCTTCCCCTTCCTCTTCTCATTCTCGAGGGAGCCCAGGAAGAGTCAAGTAATCTCTGTCTTTCGGCTCACATATACATATAGGAATGCAAATGCATAATGCACTGGCGACTTTTTGTCATTTGGTTTTCTTCTTCGGCTTCTTTCTGACTGACTTCCTTTTGCTTTAACTGCGATTTTGACAGTTCGTTACTCGGTTATACCATTTGCATGCATAATGCAGACTCAGCTTTGTTCTAAGCACATAAAATGTGGCAAAGAGACATGTGACCATGGGCTTGCAAAATGCACGAGTGCGTGCACTGAACAAATTGTGGCTGAAAACCGATTTTGGTCTGGCCTATCTTAAACCAAAAATAATAATAAATTAATAGCAAATTAATAGAATTTTTGTCGCTAAAATCAAATTTTATCCTTTAAATTTATTTTGTATTTATTTATTTATTCAATACTTCTCTATAAAAAAAAAATTTAAAAGGATATTCTTTAAATGTCGCACTTTTGGTATTCAAGAATAGATTTTAAAATTCTCATTAATTTGACTGTTTTTAAAAAGTGTTAGGCTTATTTTTAAATTGAAAAGAAAAGCTCACTTTTGTTATGAGAAAGCATACTGTCAATAAGTTTTTGTTCAAACAAACTCTGAATAGTTAAAATATTTTGTTTTCAATTTAAATTTTTCAATATCAGCTTTCAAATACTCATATTTTCGTAGTGTGTGTGGTAACTATGTGAGTACGCAACATCATCATCCATCCCGGGATCCCAGGATTTATGGGACAGGACATGGGAAATGGGTGAAAGAGAACTGTGCTGGTCTGTCAGTTTTAGTTTCTCCATCGGTTATTGCATATTTCATCAGTGCCTCTGTGTGCTCCTCTTTCGCCGCCATAAGTCAACATTAAATGGATTCCATTTGTGAGTCATGTAAATTGAATTCCATTCGCTCATATGTGTGTCGAGCAAATGTTTAAATTGCTGGAAATTGAAACTGCACAAGGTTAAACCCACTTTTTTTTTCAGCCCCTCACCTGGCTGCCAAAAAAGTGCGCAACAAAAGTGGAAACACAGCCACAAAAAGAAGTCGCAGTATCTGGCAAAAAACAAAACGAAAAAAATTGCGTCGTCCTTTTAGTTTGGCTGAGTGAAGGCCAAAACCCCGAAAGCTCAACAGCTGGCCCTGTCGATGTGGTAGGGGAAATTAGAAGGCTGCCGGAGGGATGGCGATGGAGGCACAGTGAATTAATTACTTTATGCGCATCTGCGTGTCGTTGTTGGGCACTTTACACTTCCCCGCATATCCTTTACCCCATGTCCTCCCTTACCATGCCCACATTTTTCGCTTCCCTTTCGCAAAACTCACACATGACGCTATTAATTTCTATTACCAGCCTCAGACGGCCTGCCATACTTCATTACGAGCTTTCGTGCAATTGCCTTTGGCCCCAGCTACCTTCCATTTGTTCTGCCTTTTTACACTGAAATAAAATTAGCTAGGAAAGGGCTAAATTGTATGGGGTAAAAATATTTCGAAATCTCTTTTCCAGCCAATTATAAATATTTTCATTAAATATGGCTGATACTTTTTTAATCTACTCTCATCTGCACCAAAAAAAGGCTCAAAACCCCAGGACCTAAATTATTTATGATCAATACAATTTGAATAACACATAAGTTTTAAATCATAAAAAAAACGGAAGGTGACTTAAAGTGTATTCTTTCTAGAAAATAAAATTAAAAGTAAGAATTGTGTCATATAGTAAGCTTTTTATCGTTTTTACGACTTATAATATTTAGTAAATAAGTTGAGTATACTTTTTAAGAATAATGAAAAGGTCAAAGAAAAACATTACACCTTGAAATCAGAACCACAAAAATAATATATGGAATAAAAACAAATAGATAACATATTAATGTATAAATTTTAAGTGATTTTAAATGATTACAATAAGTTTATACAAAAATATTCTTCAGAAATTTGAACATAAAAAAATAAAATATCTAATTTAGCTCTCCCTGTTTGTAAAAAAATATAAATTTCGATACATTCATTATCATGTTATTTGTTGTTCTTTTCTGAAAATCCTTAAAGTACAAGGCAGTAACACTAAGGATGTCAGCCTTTAAAATAATAAAACCTTAATGTTTTTCCTAATGGAAATTCGTTCACCATCAATAGATCAAGAAGGAAACTACATAGTTTTTTTCCGCAGTGGCCCCGTTTTCGCGCTGCCCTTGCTTGTTTGTTGATTCTGATTGGGATTAAGGTTGCCCATGGGTTCTCGGTTCGTTTTGATTGCCTTTGTGCCGCAGATGCCGTGAAATATTTCATTTGCTGCCAGTTATTTGCTCTTGCGCTCTGCAGTTGCCCATCCTGTTTCGGATTCATTTCTACTCCGGTTTTTGCTTTTCTTTCGGATTTATTTCGTTTGTCGACTTTTGCGTGTGCCTGATGAGCGCTGGGCGGGCATGGAAAGCCATTTAATAAAGTGCCCGGGCATCGGTGTAACCTCGTTTGAGGCCTGTCATAATTTATTTACTATTTTCGTTTGGCCCGCGGGCGAAGGTCAAACGGAAGCGCACACGTGGGCAGGGCAATTAGAACTCACCTGGCTCGGATGTGGTGCTGGTCTCAACGGGCTCCGTGTTGGCATTGCTTTTGTCCAGGACCAGCAGCAAAACGGTCAAGGATATTAGGGCCCAAAGCGGCTTATGGCGCATACGCTGCCTGCTCCACATGTCCACAAGGATCAGAATGCAATTGCCAGAATTTCGTTTGGTTTTCTGCTATCAAGATTTCTGGCAAAGTCGTCTCGAGTTGTATATAACACCACTGCACTTCACAGTCTTGCCTTCAATGAGGCAAAAATAGAAATCCACTTGGCCAACAACACTCAGGCTCACACGCTCACACACTCACAAGCAGTCACCCACACTCGCACAAACTATATGCAACGAGTGCGTCTGTGTGTTGGCTTTAAAGTTTCACTTTTATTTGTCAGTCCTTTTTGGGTAATATCCTTTTTCTTAAGCTGAGAACCTCTCCTTTCGAGTGACGACAATCGAATGCTCCGAGTCCTGCGAGCGTCTCGCTTTTATACCGCTCGTTGGATTCTGCGCAGCTTCGGCTCCGCTTCGTTCAGTTGCAATCGGCTTTAAGGACGAGGGATATCACTCGACGAAACTCCCCTAAGGATGTCACGTGCATTTTGCCGGCAAATCGTGTGTTTTTGTTTTGGTTTGGCCCATGTTTTGCTTAGTTGCTGTTGCTGTTTTTCCTCTTTTCCGATTTTCCGCTTTTCCTCTCTTGCCGCTTTCGCTTTTCCGTGTGCTGGTGTGCGTGCCCTTGTAACTCTCACGTAGCTTTCCTTTTTCCCACCCTTTTCCGCCACTCCCCTCCCCTCCCCTTCCCTCACCGCTTGGCCAGCTACAAATGAAGTTTTCCGCTTGCTTGCCACTTTGATTAAGTTACTTCCCAGTTTAAAACTAATTTAATTATACTTTCCTAATACCGCCAGATAACCTTTTTACTCCGGCAGTGAATCAATCACAGCAAATCAATTTCGATTTCGATGCGAAAAAAAAGTTGCACACTCCAAATGAATAAAAAACTGGGTTACTCAAGTTACTGGCTACTTAAGTTTTCGAAATATAATTTTCTTTAAGTTTTTTTGGTAAGCATTTGGGTGTTTAATTTAAATGAAAATATTAATATAACTACAGAAAAGAGACACCGAAATTTTTTCTTAAAAACAAGAAAGAAAGAAAGTCCATTTCCTCCATTCAGAAATATCAAAAATAAGAAATAACACGGAAATTTGCGTAAAATATATTTCTTCATTTGATATGTTATTTAAAATAAAAAAATAATTTTTTAACACCCAGATAATACATTACACCAAGAGAAAAAACACGGCAAATCCAAATATTTTCACTTTGAAATAAATATTTTCGGTATTAATTAAGCCCCAAGGAATGTTTTAAAGGTTTAAAATGAAACAATGTTGCGATCTACAATTTTCCTTTTGGATAAACCAATTAAATATGTTAAAATGTACATTACCATGTTTTAAGTTTAGCTTAAGAACAATTATATTTTGAAAAAACAATTTTACATTCAAACATTTTGATTTTTAATTTTACTGGTTTTCTCTGGTGTAGATATTAAATACAAAATATATTTGCATTTGGATATTGTACGAAAGTTGCAAGTACGAGTAAGACAAGATATCTTGCAGATAAGGAGTGTAATAAAGCTAACTGCAATGCATTCATTCCCCATTTTTCACCTGCCTCTGCCCCGAGAAGTATGCTATCAATTGTGCTGACGTTCGCTGTCTGCTGGCCTTTTCCGTTTTGGCCAATAGTGAAGCAGCAGTTGCGGTGATTTCGAAGCACTTGTGCTGCGGCTGGAACTAAATGCCAACTGGTAACCAGGTTGCGGATGCCACTTGGCCACTAATTACGCAAATGAATGCTCCAGCAATGTTGCCTGATCCTGCTCCTGCTCCTGCTCCTGGCTCCCCTCGCAAGATAAATGTCACTCATTGGATGTTGAAGTAAGGTCCTGGCCAAAACCGTAACAATGCTGTCTGGCTCTCTGTTGTCTGTCGCATTGAAATTTTGCTTAAATGCGAAATGCGAAACGCGCTCAACTCAAGTCGAGTGGAAAATGAATGTTTGTGTGCAGCATTCACCCTGCTCAGCTGGAAATCCAATTCTGCAGCAGCATTATCTTTTGTGTATAATTTCTGGCATCACTACCCAGACCCACCCGAAAGTTTGGAATGCAATCAGGCTGAAAATTTATACGTTTAGCATGTTTATCCTGCCTTCAGCAACGGCGACCTTTACAGCAAAATTCAATTTGCTGTCCTGCAACCGCAAGCCGAAATTACATTTCTGGTATTTCGATTCGCTACTGACAAGCTAATAACTGATTTTTGGCCTGGGCGCAAATGGAAGTGCGCCTGGATGGGTACGCACATTTTGGTAAATTAATTTCACCAGACTTGATTATTTAATCGAGGCAATTACTTATTGACTGTCTATAAATTAATATTCAAGTGACGCAATCAAAAACTAAATATTTATGTAAGAAGTTGTGCTTTTTTTAAGCAAGTTAATCAAGGAGTTTTGCTTTGTGATATATGAATAATCTAATTTGCTGACTTTAAGATGGTGTTAAGCTATTTGACCCCATAAAGTAAAAAGGGAAAAAAACAAATTTTATTGAAATAAGAAGATTGAATAAAACAAAAATTAGATTTTTAACTAGGTAAGTATATTTACATAAATATAAGTAGGCAGAGTAAGAATATATTAACTTGTATTTAGACTTGATTAAAATCCAATATTATTAAAATCCAATATTTATATAGATCTGATGTAGGCTTATAAACCGATGAATAAATATTCCATATCAAAATCTGACTAACTATGAACATGTTCCAACAACCTATTACAAATTTAATAAAATACTCCGACCAACTTTTATTTTAATTAATTTACTTAATATATTTTTTTGTCAGTGCATCGAACAGCAAACAATTATCAATTGCAAGTAAATCAATTACTTTTTTCTCCCTTTTCCAGATACCGAGCAAAGGGATAAACAAGGATTCCCGCTCGATGGCCAAGTTCCTGGATCTTGTCTTGTCATGCAATTATCGAGTTTTAATGAATTTTCGCGCGCAGTCAGAGGCAAAAACCATTGCAGGACTCCAGCAGACAAACGGAGAAAGCAGCGAGAAAGTTGCCAACTAATTACCCCAAGACACTTGGCACTCAAAAAACCGGCGACCAGCAAAATGCTCGAGTTAATTGCATTGCCAATGATGCGGCAAAAGCGTTTTGACGACCAAAGGGCCATTAAGTCATTAAGACGCTCAAAATGTCATTAAAGGGCGAGCCAACACGAATATAATCTGGATAGATCTCAGCTACATTCAGCTTAAAGTTGACAGGGGAAGTCGGAACCAGTTTCGATACAAATATTTGGCTTACACAATTCCCGCTCATCATCCTGAAGGACAAGAAGTTGTGGTGCTAAAAAGTTCTTGAAAGCTTTTCCAGTTTTCGTTTGTAATTAGGGCATATTCGCATTGAATTGCAAATGACATTAGCCGGCATTCTGGCCATTCTGCTGGCCAAAGTTTACCGCAGCTGTCGGTCTATTTGGCCCACAAATGCCTAACGAGCCGGGTGTGTGGGAACAAATCAGAAGTGCCAGCCGGAAATTCCCGCTGCAAATTAAATAACTGTCTAATTGCTTGCCATTGGCAGCAGAGTAAAATGCGCAAATGGCAGAGGGCGTGCAAAAACCAAAACACAACTGACACGACCAAGCAATAAATCTCAATCGATCCCCCAGGTGCAGTGGCAGTTTGGTCAATTAAAACTCCACCAATGGCTCACGCCGTTGAAGCCAACGCTTACAGCGGTCAGAGGTCAGTGCAGGAATAAAACAGGTGGAGAACGAGTGGAACGCGTGGCAAATACGTTAAGTGGCAGCAACGAGCCACAACAATGGGATCTCTGATGGCAGATCAACTGCCGGGGGAAAGGAAATTTCCAATTTTTTTTCGACTGGGAAAATGAACCAAACCAAATGTACAGGACAACGGAAGATATATATATTTTCACCAAGTGAAAAGGATGTTAAGGTTGCCAAATTCATTGCATTGTGTTTAAGCGCTTTTAGTTTTTTAAACTTCCTTAAAATGTTTTATAAAATTTTTTGGTTATTTTTTAACTTGTGTTGGGAGCTTTCTAAAATGGCTTACCTATACGCCTTTGCAGGTATTATTTTGATTTTGTCAACGCTTATTTCCATTTCTTTTGATTTTGCTTAAATGTAGAAAAATAGTTTTATAAGTTTACAAACATAAGTTTAATTAAAGCCAACCGAGAAGCCAAGCAGATAAAGCAATTGAATGAAAAAGGCAGGGAACAGCAGCCCGAACGCATGGAACTTGGGCATAAATGCCCCAATGGGCCATTTGCCGTGTGGCAATGGTTATGGCGAAAATAAAACCCAGCCAGTGCAAATAATATTGTGGCCAACTCCCGGGCTCAAACAAGTTCCGGCTAGTGGCCAATGGCAGGACGAACTTTGGCCAGTAAACAGCATTAAGTAACCTCACGCACAGCGGGTTGACGCGTGTGTGGGTGTTATTGTGGCAACTGCCCTCGGTGTCCTTGTCGTCGCAGTGTAATTGCCTCGAATGACTTGCCCCCTGCTTCCTTCTGTTGGCCAACTGGCATTGACAAGCTCCATAATGGCCATCGACCGCAACATCTGGTTTATGTTGCCAGTTTTCTGGAGTCACAGCAACTTTGCTTCCTCTCATCGATTTCCAGGTACACACCGCCCCTATCGAGCAGCCTAATTGAATATCCTTGGCATCCTGGCATTCTGGCTGCACTCCGTCCTCAAACTCCGAACTACAGTGGGAAATAGCTAAGAAGATTTTTTTTGTCAAACGCGTTGTGTATTTTAACACTACACTTAAAACTATAGTTTAAAGTTTTTAACTTTGAAATAATATCACCTTTATAATTGTTGTTCATGCACTAAAGATCTTATAATGCAGGATACTAAAAATAAGCAATTAACGATTTTGTAATTTAACTTAAAATCGGTTTAGTTTTTCAGACTTCCCCAATTTTGACTTTATAATTAACTGGTTTATTTTTAAAGTAATATAAGTACTTTTAAAAATTTGTCAAGACAACTGTTATTAATAAAATGACTGCTATTTATTTAAAATCTTTTAAAATGCTTAAACATTTTTTTAGAGTTTCTGTTAAATCGATTGTTGGTTGTTTACGAAGTAAAACTGTAATTGGCATGGGTCTGCAGAAGGCTGTTCTCCATATTCTCGAAAGCATAAGTTGCTTATCGCAGACGTCCATTGATATGCGCATGTGGAAATCCCTGGGATACGGGATACGGCTGCCAAACCCTTATCACTTGGACTCACAGTCGCCAGACGGATGGTGGCTGGGGAAACTCCGGAAAATGGCTTGAAAACTGCTCTGCATGCATATCTTGCGGCTCCTTCTCCGGCCAACTGCATCTACTTAGCATAATTTGTTGCCTCTTTCGTGTCTTCGTTTACCGAGTTTGGGAGTCGTGGATCTTGGGGGTCGGGGCGGTTCTGCCTGTCAAGGACCCAAGTTGCACTGCCATTTTGTCTAGACAAAGACAATGTCTGCATACAAAGATTATGTTTTGATGGGGCATTAAGCAGATAGTCAATTTGTTTTAAGTTTTTAGAATTTCGATGGTAATACAAATTATTCAATTATAATATATTATCTCAATATTTAAAATACCAAACTCTAATTTGCCTCTATTATAAATATAAAATGTTCATTGATACAAAACTTGCGCCATCATTCAAATAAGCTATCGCTTTACAGCACTGTTAGCATTAAATTCGTTTTGCGTAATGTAGACAACTCTACTTAACAGCTGTTTGTTGTTTGTATGAAAAATAAGTTTTCAGCTGAAAAAAAATTAGCTTTTAAAAAAGACGTTAACGTTATATATTGAAAACCATCGACGTTGGCTATTGTGTGGCTATTGGAGCTCCTGGGAACCTACACCTATAAGGTTACACGTTAACATAAATTAATCACAGTTTGTCAGCCATGGTAAGCTATCTCCCATCACCGGTTGCTTTCAAACTGTAATGCATGTGTTTACCTTCCAGTTGGAATTAAATGACTTCCAAACTGTAAGCCCCGATGATTTGACCGCTGCCTTGGGTTTTCAAATTTACAAAGACTTAACAAATGGTAAATACAAATATATTTCCCTTTTCAAATCAATAACAGAGATACATTTTTCAGAAAAACAAGCTGCAGACTTTCAACCAAACTATGATCATAATCTCAAAGTGTTTTATTTAATAGAAAAAGATAAAGCTTATGTACCCGTTCTTCACACAAAGGAAATAGACTTTAGAATTCTTCAAGCTTTGCAAGAAAAACTTGAAAATATGTGAGTTTTAATAATCCCCAAAATCAAATTTCGATATCTAACTACGTTTATTTCCAAACAGCAACATATTTTTGGCAATCATCGATAATACAGCCAACATTTTGTATTATCAAATAGGCGCAGGACTTTGCGAAAAGCCAGATAATAAAAACTTCGTTTAAGTAATAGCGATAGATACATTTATTCAAAATCATATAAATATAAATTACGGTCACAACTTGAAGCTAAACAAAGTGACTGGACACGGACCAATCCAAGTTGACAGATTTAAAATTAAATCGACAATAATAACCCCAAGTTGTGGGCATAATCATAATAAAATGACAACAGAAGATCTGTAAGGTTTATACTCGTGTCGATTCGCATGAGGGGTGCACAATCGTTATCATAATCGTAATTATCAATAATTATCTTCACATAATGATAGCTTAAAGTACGTTTCAATAATCGATTATTACAAGCTTAAATAAAACTAAAAAATTACATTAAAAATAGCATAGATTAGCATTAAGATTACAACAATCCGATTGTATGCCGTCTGCAAACGGGAGCTTCGAAATTTAACCCGTTCAGCGGTATTTTGTTTTCGATCCTCGTATCTGTATCTGGTTTAAAGCGTACCGCGCATACAAAACAAATCATTTACAATCAATCAATCTAACGTCGAATAAAAATGCTCAAAGCAATACAGTTTCTCGTATAATAGGTATAATAATAATAAATAACAAATGTTTGCGTGTGTGTATATGACGTAAAAAATATGTTAAAATTATAACACAACTCGGGCAATGGGCTGGGGAGTTGATAAAAAGCGCAAGGCAATTTACAGAGCTTACATGTTAAAACTGTAAATATTTTACTTTTCTCGCTCTTTACTAGATGTATATGGGGTATAGAAGATGAGCTCGTTTAGCAAGACTGTTCCTGGGATGTGCATGCAATATATGTATAAAATATATCCTTTGTTCTTGTATGTCGATTATGAAAATATGTTGCAATGATTGCTTTGGGGTGTAAACATGCTACTGATCTATAAAAACTATTTAGATCCGGTCTTACAAAAAACTGTCCAAAACTACAACTTTGCGTTTAAGGCTTTCCTAGGGTTTGTCAGACTATTCAATGCGTTCGCGTATTAGGAAAAGGAAACGGCTCTGTTTGCTGTACAATGTATGTCGATAATGTGGGATGATTCCTAGTGGGGACTCGAATCTGGCTGGATTTATGATTGACAAATGCGCTCGCCTGCTTTGCCACAAAGTGGACAACTAGGTAATTTGGTTTATATGTTGGTCTTTCGGCCAGTGAGCAACACTCAAAAGTACTCTCATTAATAGATCTATTCTCTATATAGGTATAGATTATAAATATATATGTCCTGTATCTGCATCGTCATGACGCCTTCTACTATAAATATTGAACTCACATCGACTTAACCAAGTAGAATAACTCGAAACCAACGTCTCACACGAGTAAAAGCAAAAGGCAAAGGCTATAACGATCGGGCTAGGCCCATTGGTGATCCCTTGAACTAACAACAAGTGCCTAACACCATTCCGCCGTGTATGAAAAGTCCTGGAAGAGCACCTGCTCGTCCTCGGACAGGTGGCGTGGCTCCTTTGGCGGCGTTAGCTGCGCCTTCTCCGACGTGAATTCCTCGTCAAAGTTGGAGACATCCTCCAGGTGGTTCTGTTAAGTAGTTATAAACAATGTTAGCATATACAATCGTGGTTTAAGCTCCACATTTCTACGTACAATGGTGGGCACGAATGGTGGTTTGACCTTTCGCAGCAGCAGATCATCCCACACAATCGACCGGAAGAATGCCTGCTTCTTAACATCCTCCGCATCGCGTTCCGAGGATCCCAGACGTCTCTCTGGATTCTTGCGCAGTAGCTGCAAGTTAGTTTTATATATTATTCTCTTCTGAAGTTGATAGCTTTCCAAGCAATTAGCTTACCCTACGCATCACGGCTATGGCTTCGAGTGAAAGGAAACGCGGATAGCGCACCTCATCGTTGACAATTGAATCGAAAACTTCTTCCTCATCGTCGCCAGGGAATGGGGACTATAAAAAAAAACGATTCCGTTTAGAATTAAGCTATTCAAATTAGGTTTTTTCGACCCACCTCTCCGACCAACATCTCGAAAATCAACACACCCAGACCCCACCAGTCCACAGCTCGAGTATACGAAGTTTCCGTGAGCACTTCGGGTGCCAGGAACTCGGGCGTGCCACAGAAAGTGCCCGTGCGGTCGCCGAAACCCATGCCCTCCTTGCACAGGCCAAAGTCCGCGATCTTCACATAGCCATCTGTGTCCAACAGCAGGTTGTCCAGCTTCAGGTCACGGTAGATGATCTTGTTCTCGTGCAGATACTGCAGACCCAGCACCACACAGGCGGCATAGAAAACGGCTCTCGGCTCGAGGAACACGTCCGTGTGGATGTGCATCATCAAGTCTCCGCCGGCGGCGTACTCCATCACAAAGCATACGTGTTGCTATAAAAGATGATGATTAAAGATGATAATGATTTAGTTTCCATAATTCCATAGACTTTCAGATGGCACTACTCACCTCGGTTTGGAAGCACGAATACAAGTTGACTAAGAAGGGATGGCGCATGGCATTGGCCACCTCGAAGATGCGCTTCTCGCTGAGCAACGACTCCACCTCGTCGCGGGCAATGATGTCACCCTTCTTCAGCGCCTTGATGGCGTAGTACTGGTTGTTGCTCCGCAATTGCGACAGGATCACCTTGCCAAAGTGTCCGCGACCCAGGACGCTCAGCAAACGGAAGTTGTCCATCGACAGCATTCCGGCATTTGGAGGCTGCTTTCCAACTCTGCCAGACTCCAGTCCTCCGGACTCTCGATACTGCAGGCCACGGGCCACATTTCTGCCACGTTGCTGCTGCTGCTGCTGCTGTTGCTGTTGCTGATTGGAGTTGCTGTTGGTGGAGGAGCTGGGTGAGTAAACTGAAGCCGCTGCCGCCGCCTTGGCCACATTCAGCTCATACTGGTTGGCATAGATGGGCTGCTGCTGCTGCTGCTGCGGCTGCTGCTTCTCCTGCCTTTGAGCGGGCTGCGGGAATTGCGGGAATTGCGGAGCACCGGCGGCCGCACTGTTTCCGTAGATGGTCGGAGTGGGTGGCTCCTGGATGATGGGCGAAGACTGCTGACCATACTGCAGCTGCTGGCCGCTGCCCACGTAGAGCTTGCCCATTTGTGGTATAACCTAAGGCATACAAGAACGCGAATGTTAATTTTTGTTAAGAGTGGGTAATTTGAAAAACAACTATTAATGGCTACAACTTGAGAGCTTGGCGAATACGGTTTTTACTTCCGCGTCGGCGTTACCTGCTGCACTGGGTCTTCTGTTTCTAACTTTTCAACCGTCTCGAGGAGAATACTTTCGACACAAGCTACGGATACATTTTTGCCAGACTGCACTTCGGCCACCGGCTTTATCTCCGGCTGTGAATCCGGCTCGGCCACCTCCTCGATCAGGCAACTGGTCGTCCGGCTGGCATTGATCGGTTCGAGGGTAATATGTACAAGACTAATACGGGCCTGCAAGAGGATGTATCTTCATAGTTTGATTGATTGAACGGGGCGATTTGATTGAACCCAAAGGAAGACACATACAGCAGGTGCTACAGGATTGGATGCGCTGGGACACAGTATCAGTTGGTTGATGGTTCGCGAGGGGGACAAATCAAGGTAATGCAGGAGCTGATTATGAGTGTGTTGGTGGTGCTGCTGTTGTTGTTGCAGTTGCTGTTGAAGTTGGACCGCAAACATCTGCCTCAAGACTTGACCGAGCGCATGGAAAGTTGGCACAATCATGACGTTTCTACATTTCGATCGATACCGATACGCTACGATACGATACGATACTCGGGCTAGATGGCTAAAACCGCGCCGGCCAACTGAAGGCGAACAAGTGCCAAAGTCATGACCAGAGGCCAAGCATTTGCGTCGTTGTTTTGGGTCTAAAAATTACCAACCAAAAGGAAAATGTGACAACAGCGCACATAACGATGAGCACAAATGTGTGTGTGTGTGTGTGTGTGTGTGTAGCTTGGACACATAGATACAAAGGTAAGCGAACACAGGGACAAATATATTTTAGATGAAAATGGAAATGTGGAACGCTGACGTTGCAACGTGAGGGGGCGGAAAATCGCGAGGTTGGTGTGGGTGACATAAATTAAAACATTTCCCGAGCATTGGCACGTGAAGTGGCGCACTTTCGGGTGTCTCCGCTTCTCAACCCCGTTTCCCCTAGCATATATTCCCATTTTTTTCCTCTGATCTTTTCGTTGTCATTCGCCAGAAAGCACGTCTATTTAAAAAGTTTAAAATTGTCACTTTTAGCTTTCATTTCATTTCATTTCTGATTCTGATTGAAATTCTTCAATTGACAAATCTAAGCGGTATATTAAAGCTCTCAAGTTGCTTAGAATATAAGAAAGGATTAAAAACTATTTCTATATCAAACTAAGCTGTGCAGTTTACATTTATGCCAATATCAATATTGTACAAAACTTTAAATACTCAAGTAATTTTGTTTTTAAGAACAAAGAATTTTAAATGGATTTGCAAACTACTAATGCCATTATCTACATCAAACTAAGCTGAGTGTGGTTGCAAATTGAACAATTTTAATAAATATGTTTAAATATTTTAAACACTGTTAGCAACATTCAAAGCTCAACTACTTTCAGTTAGTTTAACTACGATTATGTTAGTTTTTTGGGTGCTTGTGAATGCGTTTTGATTACAGTGCGTATGTGTGTGTTTATGAATTAAATGTTTATACACAATATTCGTGGCTTTTTTCGAAAGGAGTGTTTTGACAAAGCCAAACCAGAAACACACACACAGACATTTAAAGAAGAAACAATTAACCCAACTCGTGTCAAAAACAAAACAAAACAAAAGAAAATAGGGTTAGTGAAAAAAAATTAGAAAAGAAAACAAGTGAGAATCGGAGAACAGAGATTAAACCGGAAACCAAACCAAGGAAATGAAAAACCTCCTAACCTCCACACAGAAACGATCGCCGGCACTGGAGCTGTGGCTGGAGTGCAGCCGGCTGCCCAGGTTATCGTTGCTGCCCCGGTACAGGTACTCGTCATCGTCCTCGGGATACTCGACCAGTGGCGACGGTGGCACCGATCGGTCCTCCTCCCGGCCGCCCAGCAGCACCACAGGCGGCAGGATCAGGACCGGACGGTGCAGCTGCTGTTCCACAGCGGACGGTGGCTCGGGACTCGTCGGTTTCTGGGCGGGATGTGGATACTGCTGCTGCTGCTGCTGCTGCTGCAACTGAAATTGGTTGTGGTTTGGGCTTGGGCATTGGCTTTGGCTTTGGCATTGGATTGGCATGATCTGATTGCTGGCAAGCGGTGGCAACGGCGGCGTCGCTGTTGGGTGGGCAAAGCTGGGGGGCGGCGGCTGCTGTTCCTCTGGCTCTCTCTGTTTCTCGCACAGATCGAGGATCGCCTGACGCTGCGCCTCCTGGAACTGCTGCAGACGCAGCTGCTCCTGACGCTGGCGCTGCTGCAGCGCCAGCTGCTCGGTTTGCTGCTGTTGCAGCAGCAGATTCTCCAGCGCAACCGGATCCAGCGACATGTGCTGCTCCTTCAGTAGGCGACGCAGCGTGGTGGGACGCGAGTCCAGGTCCGACAGGAAATCGAATTCGTGCAGGGCATCCTGCAGCTGTCGGCGATTAACGAAATCATGACGATACGGAAACGGAAACGGAAACCGAGACGGCCACACAAACACACAGGGACATAGAGATAGTGAGAGAAGAATGACGCCGGGCCGCATAAAGCGCATAGACAGATGAAGAGAGTGGGTGAAAAGGGTAATCAAGTCCAAAGGAAAGAAAGTAGTTTTCTCGAGGAGACGAAATAGAGAAAAGCAAAGGAAAATGCCGTTCATGGTATAAATGCGATGAAAATCAAAGGCGGCGTAGAAAAAGCTTAAGCGTTAACTAATTTCCGTAATTTAAAAGCAGGGCTATCAAATAACGTTGCCGTGAAGGAATCTTCATTCCTTATTCGTCCTTTTTATGCGTTATATCTTAAGCTTAAGAGGTTTTTAGAACTACTATTTTATATCAATTTTTTAAAGAACATATCCGTTTTTTTCATTTAATTTTTGTAGGTATTTTTGGAGCTATCCAAATTTGTATATATATATATAAAAAATATATATATATATATATATATATATATATATATATATTTTAAGCTTTCAAATAAATACTAATTTTAACCGCTGAAATTTGGGAATGAAAATTGAGACCAAAAATAGACGGTAAGCAATTTGAGACGTTAGACGAATAAAGGTAAGGAAATCCATTTTGAAGCCTTGAAATTATTTAAACTTTTTCTGCCAGTTTTTGCGATCGATGATGAATCTGTATGGAGTTCGTCTGCCGTTCCAAATGTACAAATTAGAGCGATATATAATACAAAACCAGCACCAAATGCCCAAATGTGATGACTGTACAGATTAAGTGTATGTGGCAGTGTGTGTGTGCATGTGTGGATGGGTGGGTAAATAGATACATGAGAGAGTGGGCAGAGGAGCAGGTGGCAGGCACAACGATCAAACCAGCTACGGGTACACATCTAAGTAAATACGCAGATCTTTATACAGGGTCATATTACTGACTATTAAACTGCACACGGATCTCTGGATAAAACAAATGCACGACTTACCTCCTGATCCAGGATCGGCGTGGTGGATGACGACTTGAGAACGGGTGGTGGCGGTGGTGCCGTTGTGGGTGCTGCAGTACGACCGCCTTGGATCACCTGTCCTTTACCGGCTGCCGGCATCTGTAAGCTGAGCGTGTTGGGTCTTCCAGCTGCTCCGGTGGCCACGGGTGGCGAATCTGGGGGCAGGACACTGATGCCCTGCATATGCATGGAAAGGGGACGCATGCCACTCAGACCAGTGGCTGCTGGATCGGGATATTCACCCGGTGTCTCCACATGTTCGTGCATGCCCGCATCGGGATCAAACTCCAGGTTCTGGGCCTGTTCTCCTGGCGTATATGGTTCCGGTTCGACGAGTGCATCCGAAGAGGGAGTCCTCGAAATCGGCGACTCCGAGTCCCGGGAACCACTGACCACCATGGGAGAGGCACCGGTTATCGATGATCCCGATCCGACCGATCCCATGTGCACATGATTCGGAGCATTTCGCTTGAGCAGACGACCCCACGTGGCCACATTGATGTTCATCTGCTTGGCCCGCGAGATGTTCTTCGCCTGCTGCCTGTTGAAGATCATGCGTTGGCGCCGCAGCTTCGGCTTTTGCGAAATCATGGGGTTCAAGAACTTGACCTCCGCAAAGAGCAGACCCTGCGGCTCCAGCTGCAGGGCCATGCCATGACGCACATCGTCGATGAACTCCTCCAGGCGCAGCACCTTCACCGCACACAGAGATCGCCAGTCGCGCCAGTACACTCCAATTTCCAGCTCACGCGAGCGGTCTAGATCGATGGAGAAGCGCTGATCCCAGGCCTGCTGCGAACATGGCTTCCACGATGTCTGGCCCACGGTGATGTTGTCCAGCTTAATGGCCGCCATGATCTCAATGGAGGTCTCGTCCTTCACCGAATAGCTCTTTGAACTGCTGCGCGAGGTGACGCCCTTGACGAAGCTCCTCAAATCACCGGGGCTGGAGTTGTTGTCCTTGTCTCTTCGTGATCTGCCGGGCACATCTTCCAGTAGATCTTGGCAGCCTAGTAGACGAACCTCCAGTTTTCCGGTGACACTGGCGCAGCGTCCCAGCGAGGACACCGACTGGTAGGGCTTTCCACCCAGCAGACCTCCCTGTCCGGTCTGCAGTGACGTGTAGGTGACTGGAGCTGGCGATGTCGATTGCTGGACGATCTGCAGCTCCGTTTTTAATACCTGGGCGGCGGGCGAATCGACGGGCAGCTCCTGGCGACGCAGCTCCAAGGAGTAACGCAAGAGATCTAGTTTTCGCGACGATTCCGACAAACGTCCATGGGCCTGGTTTAAACATAAAAACATATTAATATCTTGCAGACAACACACCATGAATAAAGTGCCCCCAACACCTCTACAAAAAAATCCGTGTAGACATAAATAAAATTCAAATTTTCCCTTTGAAAAAAATTCACTTAAATTATGTTCATAAATGTACACATACATTGTCTTTAACATTTGTCCCTTTCTTTTTATATACTTGGGGAATTAAATGGTCATTTCTTTGTGATTCATTTTTTCAAGAATATTTAAAAATATAATTCTATAAATAAATCGTATAGAAAATACTGACTTATTGAGAAAATCCAATGCTAAGTGATCTTTAATCAATCAGCTAAATAGTTTTTAGCAACATATTAAATCTAAATTTAATTTTTAGGTACAAATTGTTACCTTAACCACCGAAATAAAAGATAATTTTCTAACTTAAACTATTGTTTTACTTTATTACAACATTAAATTGATTCAGCGCACAATTTGTGTGTTTGTGTGAGGAACATTCGCTTACATGGCTTACAACTAATCGAAAGAAAGATGGTTTTTGGGTTCGGGATTGGGGTTTGGGTTAATTGGGAGTATGACAATCTCAAAAGCAATGTGTTAAATGCAAGACTTAGACAAAGAAAAATAATAATAAATCCAAAAGGGTTCAATGATGTTTATTTTACTGCGGACGCCTGATCAAGGGCTTCTCACCAAGTGAGAAGGCTCTACCGCGAAGTTGAAACCTTTCGGCCAGCCAACGTTGACAGCTTTCACATTGGCAATTCGGATTCTTGGTGGGACCCACATGGTGGCCGGGCTTTCTCATGGCCACCACATTGCCAAAGCGCCGAGCCTTCTCCAAATGCTCGTGGGTGTAACCGGAAACGGAAGTGGAAGCTTCACTTGCAAGGCTTGGGCTGTCGCGTGAAATTTCAAAGCGCCGCACTGGCAACGGCGAAGGCGTCACCGTGGTGCCAAAAGTACTGGCCGAAGTGGTGCTCGGTGGCGCCTCACTGCCGCAGCGCACCACTGTGGTGGCAGCGGACAGCAGTTGCGGAGAACTTCGCTCCGAGGACGGTGATCCGGAGGCCACCTGCACGCTGAGGTTGTCGCGGGCCTCGCTCTTCCAGCGGAAGCTCGGGTGGAGAAGCCGGAACGGATCCGTAGTGGCGGCCGCGGCGGGTTGAACGGGTGCCGTGGCTGGCGGTGTGGGCTGAGCAGCACCACCTGGTCCGCCAGTGGGTCCAAAGAACTGCAGAAACCCGGGACGATTACGCGGGAAATGCGAGATCTGCTGCAACTGCGACTGCCTGCCCGGATAGGTATTGAATCCATTGGCATCCGAAAAGCCATCCGATTCCGAGGGGATGGTGTCGCTGCGCTGGAACGAACTGCGTTGCGACTGCACCTCCGTGATTGTCTGCAGGGGATGCGGGGATGGTGTTGCCGGGTGGGTTGGCATGTGACTCTGGTCCAACGAGTGCTGACGAGACCAAAGTCGCTCCATCTGGCTAATTCGCAGGCGATCGAGCGAGTTCTCATACTCAAAGCTATCGGATTTGGCCAAACCGAATGATGCCATCGGTGTATCCAGTTCGTCTGTTTCCTTCCACGACGAGTCCACGCAATCTGTTCCACCCATGACACTGGATATGCTGCTGCACGTGGCATCCCTGGGCATCGTAGACCTCGAAGAGTTGGGGTAAGTGCTACTGATCGTCTCATCGCTGGGCTGGCGCATGTATTTCTGGCGCAGATTAGCCAACTTGGCCGCCCGCTGATCGCCAATGTGTTTGCGGAAGAGCAGCTGCTTGGACTCGCACACTTCCTCGGCGGTGCTGCACTTTGTAATGGCATGACCCAGATTTAAATCGTCATGTTGTTGGCTTCCGATTGGATTCTTCGCCTGATTTTGAGCCAGACGCCTGGGCATTGCTCCCCCAGAGATTCTTTGATGGCGCAGCAGCATCTGTTCGTTGTCAAGGACGGTTTGCGGTGTGGAATTCGAGTCCAGTTCGTAGCGCTTGCTTCCGGCCAACTCGGAATCGGAGGAGCTGGAGGCCTCCTCGTCTGCCTGCCTCTCATCATCCGCCTCCTCTTCCTCATCACCCTCGGAACCCGTGCAGTAGACATCAATGTGAACAGTGCGCGGTTTCTTCTCCCCCAAGTTGGGTGTTCTGGGCACAGCTCCTTGGCTTAAGTTTCCAGCTAGCGGTGGGATTCTTGACATCGAAGCCGATTTAAATGTTGACGAGGGCGTCGTGGGCGTGGGCGAGTAGGTTGGCTGTTGATTGTAATTTGGTTAGCAAGTGTAAGAAGAGTTACTTTTGATTCGCAACCCACCACATAAGTGTTAGCCTCCTCCGCCTGCCGCTTGCTTGCAAAATTCATCAGTGCTTCGGTGGTGGCCCTTCGTTGCTCATAAGCCGGACGTCTTTTGGCTGGCTGCTCCTCCGTGTCGCTCGTTTGCGAAAAGGCATCCCTTAGCTGCTGGGCTCGCACTTTGCTGTGGTAGACAAAGGGTTCATTCACAGTCCCGGTTCCCGCTTCATGGGGTAGGAAATCGGCCACAGCCGACACCATGATGTTGCAGGTGCTCCGGCAGCGAGTGCCACACACTTGGGCAGTGGCTCCAGGAGGAGCAGCAGCAGCAGCAGCAGCAGATGGCTTCTGAAGAGCTCTGGATGCGTGTGGGCTGCCAAAGGCAGAGTCCGCATTGGTGGTGGCCGAGGAGTTGGTGGAACGGAAGCTGGTTCCCGCTGTGGCTGCTGTCTGAAGAGGATTCAATGGTTGTGAATAATGTTGGGCAGATCCCAAAAAAACACAACTCACCTTGTCCGCATCCTGTTCGGTTTCGGGTTCCTCGCATGGCGTGCACCACTTGTAGACCACGCGCATGGGATGCACAGCCTCCGGGGAAGCAAACTCCTTTTGCACCGGCTCACCAGCTCGGGCAAAAGTGAGATGGGCTCGCACCGTCCACTCGGCGGTCAATTCATGGGGCAGTGGAACCTGTTGGCCCAGAACAGCCCCCGGAGTGGGCGTGGGCGTGGGCGTGCTCATGACTCCCTACGCACCGTTTTTGCGATCGCAGCATGAACACATTTCGGCTGTGGTTATGGTGTGGCTCAAGGTGCCATCAATTTATTCACATAAATACACTCACGCACTATATAAACTACATATATCTTTATATACGTCACACACGAACTTTATATTCTTGCTAAAAATATCAGGAAAACGCTTTCATGGTTTCTTTTGTCGAACAGAATTCAAATATTTCAGTTGAAAATGCTTATGGAATCCTCTAACTATTAAAATGTAATTTTATATCAACAAATTGTGGTAACATCTCCACAGGTTGTTTACAACTATTTTATTTTACTTTTCCTTTGAATTTTGTATTTTAAACAAATTCAAGGAATTCCTTTCATTGTTTATATGACACGGAATCTCAAAACAAAAGGTAGAATTTAACTGCTTTCATTTTTTACATTTTTAATGTATTTTTTCCATTTAAATATTCGTTTTTGGTTAACACAAACATTCTTCACAGGCAGTTTCAACTATATTAATTTGCTTTTTTGTTTTCACGTATTTTTAGCTTCGTTCAGCCAACGCACACACATTTTAAACGCGGGGGCTAAGAGATGGGGTGGAACGAAAACACTTTCGGTTTTTCTTAGCTTTTGTAAAAATTTTTGTTTCTATATTTATGTGATTTTATTTTTTACATGATTTCTTTTTCGTTACGCTAAAATTGCAAGATGACCCCAAAAGCCAGATCTGGGAAATCGAGAGAAGAACGGACGATCCAAAACGGGAAATTACGCAATTGCAGGTGGATAAGCGCTGAAAACCTGCAGCGCACGCTGCGTATGCGTAATTTGAAAGAACTAATGCCAAGCTCAGACATTCGATTCGAGTTATACAGTGTGTGTGCGTGCTTTTCACGAGTTTACTTCGATTATTTCATTACTATTAGCATTATTTCATTACACATTCATAGAGTTTTAAACACAAGCAAACCAAGGAACACGAACGCGACGAAAGACGCGGTAATTAAAAAAATAAATTATAAAATATCGGGAAACACCAGGCGGCGTCGCACGTAGCCAACGGCAATCCAACTCGCACTGAACGTCGGGGAAAAGCTGCTTGAGAAAATTCGCTAGAGAAGCGAACATACAAACAGACACATCAACAAAACGGTGGCTAACAACAAATTTCCCCATATGCTGGCCATAGAACTTTGCGCTCCGCTTCTTATGATGGTTTTATACGTTTCTTGTTTTTGCTCGATCAAACAGAGGCACAGACATATAGACGTGTTTATATATCTTATGTTTGTGGGCCAGCGGGAAGCAAAGTTCTAAAAATGTTTAGCAAAACGCTTCCAAATGGCCAAAAGGGCAGCGGCAAAAGTTTTGTGTTTATTGTTTAGCCGATCGTATCATAACTTCTGCGATATTTTGATGCACAGCAAAAAAAATATGTCAACTAAATATATTTTATACCAAAATAGGTCCTATTACTATACTTACTTATTACTTACTACTGAATATATTTCATACCAAAATAGGTCCCATTACTATTATGGTTATAATATACAGCTGTTTTAATATTTCATAAGTTATATTATTAAATCATATTTCGAATTGAACAAGCTGTTTTACTAATCAAAATCCCGCAATCTTTCACTAGCTCGTTAAACTGTAATTTGTTATATGGCTATGAAACCATGGCTTCTTAAAACATTCTTGTTTCTGCATCTGACAGATGCAACCGCAACACAGAACAAATAAATATGGGAATGGGGCCTGCAAATAGAATATTTAGGCCACAGCCCGGACAACATATTGTTGTACTAGCTGGTGCGGAAGTTAAGTGTCTGTACGTATACGTTTTATGTTGAGTCCAAAGACAAAACCGCATGAGCATCAGTGAAAAGATAAATCACAAAGGGGAAAAAAAAGCGAGCTTGCCACGCGACAGGAAACGCTAACGTTGGGAAATAGAGAAAAAATGAATATTTTCACTTGCATATATATGTGCACTGGTAATGCATTGTGAAATTCCTATTTTGCGTATATTTTGAGACCATTTTTTCTGTACGCGAGCTATTAACTGAAATATTTCAAAATAAACTAAAAAGCGAGTGCCAAAATTATTAGGGCAGGCCCTGAGTACACTTGCCAAATCATTTTTCTCGGACTCAAGTAATGGCGACGTTCTACGTCCATTTAATTAATGAGACGACATTTAGCGTAAAAAAAAACTTAAAATTAAAATGAAATTCAGACGAAGGGAGAGCGTTGAAAAATATTTCAAGCAGCCGCATAATTAGGTATTCCTTCTTTCCGCTTCGCGTTTCACATGCCGTTTCCTCAAGTCGGACAAAAATCACGTATACGCATGGGTATATCAAATATGAATCATACGACGTGTGGCCATATGGCAGCAGGTATGTACACCTGAGTTCGGTTAAACGGGGGAATACTTGCAGGGTTTTACGTGTGCCTGGCGACCAGCCAGCTCTAATTAACTCTGGGATTAGAATTTCTTAAAAATTACTAGGAGGGTATTTTATTTGTTTATGTTGTTTAACATTCTGGCATTTGGCAAATATTGATGAAATACATTTTTACAACCTCTATGTGGCAAAATAAAGTATTCCTACTTTTTAGCTACATTTGTTTTAACAAAAACCTAAACAAAATAAAATGTTTGCTGTCTTAATTCGTAACGGTTTTAAAACCAAATGTAAGTAACGTTAAAATGATAACCTTATAGAATACCTGCAAAGTACTGGCCTAACATCGGATTTTTTGTATAGATTATCCAATTTAAGTAACCCCAAAAGTGATAAACTTTGTGTGAGACTCACCTCTTGCAGCGCCTTTTTGTCTGGTGCTCGATTCGCCGTTTGCAGCGTGCGGATGACATTCTTGGCTCCATCGACGACGGCTGCTTCGATCCGCAGTCGATGGCGCAGCTCCTCGATCCGCTCCTCCAGCGTCGTCTCCAGACTCTGCGGTTGGCTGCTGTTGTTCCCGCCGATCGTCTGACCGTGCTCGTCGATCATCTGCCGCGAGGCCTTCAGGCGATCCGCCTGCTCGCGATTCTGTTTCACCTTGATGATGCGCAGGCGCAAAAACTCAATCTTGGCCTTCGAATCGGCCAGCATCTGATGGGCCTCCGCCAGCAGCTTCTTGTCGCACCCGATGCCCAGCGACTGGATCATGTTTTCCGCTCCGGTCTTCACCTTCATCTCGATCTGCAGCTGCTTCTCCAGCGAGGCGAGCACTTTGTCATTGGCGGTAGCCGGTCCGCCCCCCTCGAGAGCCGTACTTCCGCCGCCCAGTCCGCCAACCGCTCCGCTGACCAAGAAACCGCCATTGGGATCAATGCAGGCAGTAATGGACTCTGCAAGAAATAGGAAACAATAGAAATGTAAATATAGTATATATAAAAGTTTGTAAAGAGAAAGTTTCGTTGGAAAATTTATTTTTGTTTTTTTTAGACATGGTTTTATTAAAAATGAATTATTTTTTGTGTCTTTAAAGGGTTAGTTTTTGATAAAAAATACATTTAAAATTTAGGGATTTACTCGATATTTTGTTATATATTTATTAACCTGTTGTATGTGGAAATAATTTCTATTTACCAATCAGCATTTTATATTTGTAAATACAAGCTTCTTATGGCGAATTCAAAGTCAAGTTTAAATGAAGTGTTGGAAATTTCCTCAGGGTTAATTTCACAATTTCCTGATATGTTAAAATTAACTTTTACGTTTGGTAAGATAATGGGTTTTCGTCAGATACAAGTAGTTTCTATGATAAGCCTCACCTCAGCCTTAATCTTTACCGTTTATATCGCTACTTGCAGTTAAACAAAAAGAAAACGATAAATAAAATAAAAAATAAAAATAAATCGCCTGCAAAGTTGTTTTTTTTTTCATTTCCTTGGTTTTGTTTGTTTGATTTTCTATAGACTAACTAAAAACACATTCGTATGTTTAGATCTATATGCACCATCTATCTATTTAAAGAGAATCGGCATTGGTGCAGCATTCTTTGACAGCTGCCAAACATGTCAATCGCTTGACATATGGAAAGTCGACTTTGGCGCCACACAAAAGCAGCAGTGGATGGTTCTTCTGGGTCACATAAATGCTTCTGTTGGGGAATTGGCCAAACACGGAAGCAGATAAATAGAATGCCAGAACGCTGTCTCCGTTCGAAAATGTAAACAAACCGTACCAGTTGTGTCAATAGCTCACATAAAGCGAAGAAAAGAAAATGAGGGAAAAAAATTCGGTTTGTCACCAAGTCTATCACAAAGTGTTTTGTTAAAGATACGAGGGCATACGTATAAAGTATAAAGCGATAATCAGATCTTTCACACCCAACATAATGCTTTTTGTCACCATGGAGCATTAAGTGATGGGCCAAGAAAAGTGTGGTAAAAGCAAGTGCGTGACAAAGACTCGTTAAAGACGGACTTAACCATTCCCAAAACCGTGAACAATTTCGGCATTCGTGTCCATTTAATGTTGCTCTTTTTCGGGTACTTTCATTTTTTTAGGTTTTTTTATTTGTTTTGTTAAGTTATTTCTTTGTCATTGAATGAATGTTATGTTTAAAATTAGAGATAAGTCTTGGTTAAGTTATTTAAACTCAAATTTTAACAGATAGCTTTGATTAATTTGATTAATTCATCACTTTACAGCTTGTCAAATTCCAATTTGTAACAAGCATGAAATTGAATTTAATAACAAACTTCACCACATGACCTTAACTTTATCTTCCAGCCGAAAAAGGTATTTCAACTTCAACGCACTACCCAAAGTTTTCTTTGTATTTTGTTTTGGTTGAAGCTTCGTTAGTGGCCCCGACCCCTTGGCACGCCCTGTTTTTTATTGGGAATACACTTGTCTCGTTACAATTTCCCACAAAACTTGTTGCATGAAAATATGCTCAACTTTTGCTCTCGTATAATTGCAACAGTTTATGATTGGCTTTTCGAAAGTTTGCCTGTTAATGGATTTTCGAAACGAACCGCGAGTTACTTAATCTTCAAGAGAATTTGTTATGGACTTACCTTGTCCGTTGCTATTCACGGCGGTGTTGGCCGATGTCAGAAGGATTTGGCTCTCGAGCTCCTGCAACTCCGACTTGAGCTCGGCCAGTTTGCTTTTGCTCTTCTTGACAAGAACGGCCACATCGCTGAGGGACCGCCGATCCTTGGCCACCTCGCGGAGCTTCTCGGCGCCCTCCTTGATCTTCAGCTCCTTGCGGATCTCGCGCCGAATGGCCTCCTTAATCTCCTCCAGCCGTATGGACATACAGCTCTCGGGCAGATTCTCTGTGAAACCATATTTGTGACTGAGTTCGTACAGAACGGGATGCTTTATGTATTCGCCCTGTGAATGAAACAACAAGATATAAATTTTGACTTAGTCATTCTTTTAAAAGTCATTACAAGAAGATTGGTTGTAACAAGTGTTTGTTTAATCAATTCGTTGAGAGGTTCTGGCTACGAATGTGATAATGACTCTAATTTTATATCTTCAAATTTATTAAATTGAATAAAATTCCTAGTCTTTTCCAAACAGTTTCGGGATCGTTAAGCAAAAGGAGATTTTACATCTTGTAAATAAATTGAGTCTTATAAAAAATATTGACAGGAGCAAATTGAGCTGATTAATTATTATTCAAAGAGCATAGATTACACAAATAAAACATTTTAATTGTTTATTTATCAGTTCATTATTTTATTCCTAAATAGCTTTTATCTTCTGCGAGACTTAAAAAACTTGTAAACTTGGTTTTTTTAAACAAAATAGTTTTTGTGTTTCGTTTTGCCAACTCACTTCTCCAGATAATTCATAGTTTGAACCATTAACCGAATCGGTGTAGAATATTGCACCATTAACACTCCCAGCATCTTC